TTATTATACTTAGAGCTTTTAATTTTATTTATTTTAGTTTTATAGATTAAGTTATTTAGGATAGCTTTATTTAGCCTATATATAAGTATAATAAGGGGGAAAGATATTATATAAAGTTATTATATATATAAGAAGATATAAGGAATAAGCTTAAAGCTTTATTTAAAGTAGTAGTTAAGTTTTTATACTATAGCTATAAGAACCCTTTTAGCTATATAAAGAGTTATACTATTAAGTTTATAATCTTAAGTATAAGTTTAAGCTATTACTAAGCTTTAACTATAAATACTATTAGTATTCTATATTATAAAATAATACTTTTATAATATTATAAATAATATACTTATAAATAATAGTATTATAAATAACACTCTTATTAATATATTTTATTACTCTACTACTTATTTACTTACTCTCTTCTATATAGCTAAAGATAAGTTAAGCTAAGTATTAATAACTAGTTATACTAAGATTTATTTATTTACTTTATTAAGATTAAGTATAGGTTAAAGTGCTATTATTAAGTTTTAGTATTATGAAAAAAAAGTATAGAGTGAACTATAGTACCTACTTATATAGGTTAACTAGACTACTAACATAATATTAATATTATAAGTAAATTAAAAAGTATAATTAATAAATCTCTAACTTAAAACTAATAACTTATTTATATTAAGTTTTAAAAATAAAACTTTTAGAGAAAAGATTTAATATTATAACTTATAAATAAAGATAATAGCTAAATAATTTACTTAAGTATTAAGTAACTAAATAAAGATATATATATTATAGAACTATAAAAATAATAAAAACTTATTTAGAATAAAAGAACTATAATATAAGTTATATAATAGTAAAATAAAGAAATAATTAATAAAATATAAAAAAGAATATTTTATAATTAATTAGTAGAAATAATTAATTATAATTACTTTATATATATAAGTAATTACTAAAGAGTTAATAAAGAATACTATTTAAAACTTATATATAATATAACTTTAAACTTAGTTTATAGTTAGATTTCTATAGCTTTTTAGTAATTAACTTAATATTTATTTTTAAAATACTTTTTGCTTATTTTTATTATAAAATTACTTATTAAGTCTAAAACTAATTACTTTAGTTTCTAAAAACTAATCTATTATAGTTTATAACCTATAACTTAGACTATAACCTTAATATACTATTACTATATATTAATCCCTAACTTCTATTAGTAGACCCTACTGTTAGATAGCTAACTATAACACTAAGAGTCTTACTAAAAGCATTCACTTAAGTGTTATCAGCAAAAGATTTAACAGCAACCACGCTATCCTTCGCAACAGTATGATACGTCATCTGAGTTCACAAGAGCTTAAGTGAAAGAAAGATCTTCGAGAGAGAATAACAGTTTTCCTCTCGCATAGATCACCCACAAGCCCGCCCGCGTAATTTATGCCTTACTAACAATGCAAAAGTGCTTAAGTAACAAGTGCAGGCAGAAACACCTACAGGAAAGCATCATTTCCTAGTACATAGGACTAGCCCAATTATTACAAGAGAATTATCTACAGTTAAAGCGTCTCAGCACCCGCGAGCTCAATTTAGAAATTCTTCTGCCCAAAGCGGCGAGTTGCAGGACACTGTTAATATCAATATGTGTTGCAGGTGCATAGCGTACCCTCTATGTTCAACAATTATTCGCATCTTATGCCATAAAATGTTAGCATACTCCACCGAGGACGACGACAGCTTCATGTTGGCGCCAGGGACGCGACTCAGGTACCACGTAGAATCAGCAGTTCGGAAGCGGGTTCTGGTCCGCGACCCTTGCACGCTAATGGAAGATAGGTACCCTGAAAGAGAGAACTTGCAAGGGGGCCAAAGAGGGGCTCTTCAACAGCAGCGCACTTCAGGATAGCAGAAGGATTCTTGTCCCCGCTTGCCGTTGCGCTTGCCGATTGCAACGGTCAGATTCCGTCCCAGATACTACTTTATGTCCAATTCCCTCATTACGGGCGTCTGATAGCCCAAGATTCACCTGTTGTATGCAACATCAGCTTCTCTTCACTCCTCACTGAGACGCAATTATGACTGCAGGTAGGTGATTTCGACCTCCAATGCCGGCAGCGTTACTGACGCAAGGATGAACCAAAGCCATGGAACCGGTCAAGGCTCCCATCGAATACCCCCCGCTCGGGGATCTGCGGAAGATGATGGCCCAAAATCCTGTCCCTATGATCGCCCCTAGAACCGTGCAAGAGGGTTCCATGGGCGGCGACGAACCGACAAAACAAGCCCAGTTCACGTTAAATGCATTCAATGCTGCTTTGGAAACCCGCGATGCCGCTCGTCTTACGGAATGCTTCTTTCCTGACCAGGCCTTTTGGAAGGACCAGCTTGCTCTAACATACCATCTAAGGAGCTTCTCCACCCCATCTGGCGTTGCTGCCGGGCTTTTGGAGACTACGCAACTGAGGGGCGTCGTTGGCGGTCTCAGTATCAGTGGCTCAGCTCAGTTCATCCCGGCCACCCCAGTACTGGTAGGTAGCAAATGCGACATCGGACGATTGATCAAATCGGCAAGTAATAGAAGGGCTGATCTTAATCCAGCAATACATCGATTGTGCGGCAACCTTCAGAACCGCCTCACCGGCCGCCACCTGCAGCGGCAGACTCATCCTTCTTCCCGTCAAGCGCCAGTCCGATGTTTCAAAGGAGAGTATCGAGTGGAAGATTTGGATCTTAAGCACCAAGCTAGAGAATCTTGAGATTCATCCCGAAGATGAAAGTCTTCTCAAGGCACCCAAGAGACAGTTAGTGGGAGTGGACACCATTGAGTCTGATGTTTTCATCATTGGCGGAGGCAATGCGTAGGTCACCCACACATGTTTGTGCAGAGATCCAAGCTAATCTTGATCACTGCAGCGCGTTTGCCCTTGCCGTTCGTCTCAAAGCCTTTGGTGTTGATAGCGTGATGGCCGAGAGGAATGCCAGAGTGGGTGACAACTGGGCTCTCAGATACGATTATCTGAAGTTTCATGTGCCGACCACTTTCTGCCAGCTGCCTTATTTGGGTACGTCAGCATACTTGACGCTCATGTAGCGTCCAAAATCGAGCTACATTCCAGAGAGCTTGCTAATCTTGTCATTTTCATGAAGACTACCCCGAGGGGCTGTGTGGGGATCACCTGCTCACCAAAGACGAGTTGGCTGAGCAGGCTCGACGATATGTGGAAGCCCTCAACCTCAACATCATCACCTCGGCCAAGATCAAGGCGACCTCGTATGATCAATCGACAAAGCTGTGGACTGTCAAGTTCCAGACTCCTGATGGAGAGCGTACTGCCATCTCTAAGCACCTCGTACAAGCAACCGGGGTTTCATCCCAGAAGCCGTACACTCCGAAGATTGCAGACGAGCATTTTTACAAGGGCGTCAGGCTTCATTCGGCGGATTACAAGAACGCCACTATTTTGAAGGAAAAGGGTGTGAAGGTGAGATCTTCTCCATTTGAGGCCATTATTTTCTGGTAGCTGACGCGGCCCCTAGTCCGCGATCATCGTCGGCTCTGCAAACACAGGATTCGACGTGCTGCAAGATTGTCACGATGCTGGTCTGAAGACTACCATGGTTGTCCGCTCACCGACCTACATCGTGCCGGTTGAGTATGTTTGCAACCCCCGCAGTCTTGGAGCGTATAACTTTGGTGTCGAGGCCGGCGACAGGATATTCTTGACATTGCCCGCATGCATCGACGGTCAACTCGGCCGTGGTCTCTTCGCTCAGTTTGCGCTACAAGAGCCGGATCGTTACACGTCTCTCGCCGCTGCAGGCTTCCCTGTTCTCGACAGTCGCGACCTAGATTGCGCATTGATGCACAGCCTCTTTGAGCGCGCTGGTGGGCACTATGTCGATGTCGGTGCTACCAGCCTGATTGCTGAGGGGAAGGCCGGCCTCAAAGCGGGAGCCGAGCCGGTGGCGTACACCGAGACGGGTCTCCGCTTCTCGGACGGCAGCACCATTGACGCGGATGCCATTCTGTGGTGCACCGGCTTTGCTGACAAGGACGCCCGGAAGACCGCTGCCGAGGTCCTTGGCGGTGAAAACACGGATGGCAAGGTCAACGGAGATAAGAACGTTCTCGGCCCAGAGGACATCGCGGCCCGTCTCGATGCTACCTGGAACCTTGATGAGGAGGGCGAGATCCGTGGGATGTGGAAGCGGCATCTGAACATGGAAAATTACTGGGTCATGGGCGGATATACCCAGCAGCATCGATGGCATTCACGGACCCTTGCCCTGCAGATCAAGGCAGCCCTTGAGGGCGTACTCCCCCCGGCCTATCGCGATACCCCGACTCTGAAGGTGGCTCAATAGAGTAGATAATAAAGATCCTAGGCCAATCAAAAATCATCTGATAATTCATTGATCAATCGTTGTTCGGGGCGGCTAATTCGGTTGATTCCAGCCAGGCACACGGCACTCATACAGGCTTCTCAGCGGCTCCTCAGTTCTTGATGTGCGTTGGTGGGGGCGGCAACACATTTTTCTTTGACAAACGGGGGCGTGATTCCATGCGCAGTTTTCTTCAAATACGTATCTGGAAGACTGTTTAACCTTGCTTTTTTCGGGCGACGGAAAGAATCATTTATATTGCCGCGAGAATAACCCCTAATTCTGGTCACCGCCCCGGGCTTGTCGAAGATTTTGCGGAGCTACGCGTCCGGATACTGACCTCCCACCATTCCATGTTCGTCGGAGACGCCTCTTCATCAATGAACAAGAGATGTTAGAAATGGGAATATTGTAAACGTCAGTATTTGGTACTCGTTGCTAGAGTTCTGTTGCCCAATGCGTTCTTCTCCAGTCTTCGGCAGTTTTGCCAGCAAGACCAGACTGATCTTCATCAATGTTCGGCCACTGGAGAGCCATTCCGTCCGGCTTGACCCAGACATTGCTGTTCCAGCTATTCAAAATATTCGACTCAATTGCAGCTGACATCAATAAAGATGTCATTTGTTGCTGTAATGTACAGTAAAGTTCCTCGTACAGACAATTCCCTGCGCCGGCTCCGTCTTCTGCAAAATCAACTCTTCACTGTTTGTATCTGAGGCTGCGCCTGAGGGATAAACAGAGCCCATTATATCCCCAAGGTTCCTCATAGAGCGCCCTGCATGGATCTCAGTTGTGGTCGGAGACATCTGTTGCTCTCTGATATGCATTGCATCCTTCTTTTGCAGCTCGTATTCGTCCTGCAGGTTTCCTTCGCGAATCATAGTTCGCCTTTTGCTATGAACTTGGGCTTTTTTCCCACCCGTCCCGGTGCTAAGTGGTGTTCGGCCGCTGTGATTGTATCTCTCGTAGCTGGGATAGTAGCCAGCAGAGCTGTTGATCTTCAAGTAGCGACCGACGAGGGGCTTGAGGAAGGATGCGCATGCTGCTATGATACCGATGTTGAGCTGGAGACTGCGCAGGTACTTCGGGTTAGCCGCAGAGAACTTTAGACTCGATATTCCATTGCTCGGCGACCTACTTTTGCCAAAAGTGAACCCAATAGTCAAAAATAGCGTCAGGGGCGCCGCCGGTTGTAAGCATAAACACGGCTTTGAGGATTCCCATCAATACAGCGCTTTCCATTGATGAACGTCAGCACAGACGGAGTTTTGTGATTGAAGGCACTTACAAATATCCCAAGTTGAGGATTGCTATCACATAGATTCTGACTCGAAGTTTCATCTTAAGGCTCCAGATGATCGGAATGGGCAAAGCTCCCAAGCAGACGTCGGTGAAAATATTGCACGCTGAGAATAAGCAGGTTAGGGTCTGTTCAATACCCTGCTAGTGTAGGAGTTTTAACTTACCTATGTTCCAGTATGTGAGGTTGAGGAAGACATTGAAATCGTGGCACCTTGGATCAAACGGATTCATCCATTGGAACTCCCACCATCCAGAGTAAGGGGTGCAGTAAACAAACAGCCAGACTATAGCTTGGATTGAATACGCAACAACGAAGCCTGTCAAAAGAATCAAAAGTCTGTCAGCTGTCTTTCAAGCGGCCAAGGTTGGCTTAGACAACATACCCATCACGGCGTACAACGACCACCGGTACCAGTTGAGGTCTCTCTTTAGTCGGAGCAAGGTGTATGCCATGGAAATTCTCAACAATCCCATGGCCACTCCATCCGAAATCACTGTCTTCCAGAAGGTGATTTGCTCAAATTTTATTCGTTCGTCAATCGCTATCGTTGCTGCATGACGGCCGAGGCCGTGTGGTATCTGGAGGACTAGGCAAATCCACGATGCCAGTGCTAGAAGCTTGGTCCGAAACTAGTCAGCTAGGGTGTCTCAGAAGTACTTGTGCAAATCTTCCAGGATGAGCATACAGCAGCGACGACAATGAGAGCATCATCTAGACCGAACGCTCTGAGAACGACAACTCGAGCGTAGATACGCAAAGAGACGAAAGAGCACGCTAGAAAGTGAAAGGCGCCGACAACGCCGACGATTCTGTCCGCATTGCTCTCGTTTGCGTACTCGAGGGACTGGCCGTCCATTGCAGCACTTGATCGGCGAAGGGGGAGGGATGAAATTGATGGCCGTGCTTTCGATGAACATGTCCCAAAACCATGACTATCCTGCTCACAGTGGGTCTTCGACAGTTTAAAAGACAAGGGCAACTTTCTCCTCCCTTTGCACACGCCAACTCTTTGATCGCAAGACCGTCCCGATGAAGAACCAAGAGACTTGATCCGGAAGTTGGTTCTTTGCGGACTCGAAACCGTCTCGGTCACCACTCACTTACCAGGGTCGAGCGAAGAACAAGCTCTTGTCCTGCCGAAGGATCCAATCAGGATCACAGGTGTTCATTTGGAACCTGGAAAGGGGCTCCACTGTATGCAGTGTGGTGAGTGAAGAACGTCACCGACCTGCAGATGTGTATCGGACTTGCCCTCACAGGTTGCATGATACATCATGAGTTTGACCATGGCATGGAAAGATCTCTCTCGCAGGAGATGAGGACTACGTAAGTGACAAGCCGCAAGGGCGGAAATACCTGGGCGCCACACGTGTTTATCTCTCATTTCAGGCGAGTCGACGGGGGATATTTCCCAGATTGGCCTGTCCAGATTCATTGATATGATTTCGCCACAGGGGGTTGGCACGAAGAAGAAAAAGGAGGGTTACCACGTGGTAACCGTCGGTGAACAAGAGCATCGAATCCTTCATGCACTTGGTTTGCGTCAGGAGCAATAATCCGTTTGCCACAGTAATTTAGAATCTTTCTCTTTTACTTGGAAGCTTTGGGGACGACTTCTCGTGAATGTTGCGGATGTCTTCTTAGCCTGTGGCAACCTTCAAATGGTCAGTCATACCTCTTACAATATGTTCCTGGTGAGAACTCTAGGCTGTTGGGGGCGGTTTTCGCAGCTCAAAACTTAAACAGCGAGACGTTTTGGTCCGGAACCGCTACCGGATATCCCGGGCAGAACCACGGAGATCGGAAGACAGACGTTGCCACCGGGGAGGTGGATCATTGTGGCATCTTGACCCCTGCATTCAATCCCAACACAGCCCCATAGAAGGATGCGATTGAATGCGACCATGCGTGCAACTATAGTGGTGGTTCGATCGTTGGAGATTCTTCCTGTTGGTCACCGTCGTCCGACACCAACGTGTGATGTGTGCGGTTCCTCAATCGCAATTTCCGGCCTGCAGCGGCGATGGTCCCAAAGGGCAGGATCCAAGAGGCACAGCAGCGGTCAAGACTCTCCGGCGTGGGATCCGAACCGAAAAGTGTTTGCTGCTGCTTGGAATAGTGTACCGCGGTAAATTAATTCCACGCCATTGTTCATGTCGGCATGTTGCCGGCATGTGTGGGATAGCGAAAGAGGCGAATTGCTGGTGTAAGTCGACTACCGGCTTGATCTTTAAAATCTCCGTGGTCCTCAAAAGAGTCACACTGCAGCAGTCACAGGCACATCCAGCAGCGTGCAGTACGAGCGTGGCGTTTCTTGGTCGACATGCATGCCAACAAGATGCGTTCAGGTTTGACCCTCGTGGCCACACTCCTCCTTCAGGGAACTCTTGGTGCACCAACATGCAGTACCCAGACCATCTCTCGAGACGTTGTTGTCGTTGGTGGTGGTGCAGCTGGTGCCCATGCTGCGGTGTGGTTGCGCGATCACAACCAGACTGTGGTCGTTGTCGAGAAAGCCTCCCAGCTTGTGAGTTTCTCGGATCTTCCTGCTGTTATTCGCATTTTGACAATCGTAAACAGGGCGGTCACACAGCTTCTTACTATGACCCAGTCTCAAACAAGTCGATCAACGTTGGAGTGCAGGCTTGGATGGAGTACAAGGACACCTTCGACTTCGTTCACCGCATGAACGTATCAACAAGAGGGTCGATGCAGTTTACGACACTCGACTACAAGTACGTCGACTTCAGGACGGGCGAGCCGACAGACTTTGCTGCACCTGCATCCGACGACATGTATCCCGCCTTGCAGAGGTATCTCGATGTCATTCTTCAGTATGAGGATATGGTTCTGCCCGGCTTCGACAACTTCCCTGAGCCAGACGTTATTCCTGAGGACTTGCTGATGCCTTTCGTTGACTTCGTCGAGAAGTACAACCTCGAGGCTGCCGTTCCGCAGATCTGGGACTCCACTGCCCAGGGCATCGGCAACACCATGGATGTGCCCACCTTGTTTGTTGTGCAAGCTTCTGGCATTCCTATGGTTCGCGCTCTGTTGGGAACCGGTGCCGCCGCTGTTCCGGCCTCGGGACGTCTGTACGATCTGTACGAGGCCGTCGAAGAGTTCTTGGGCGACGACGTATTGTACTCAAGCACGGTCTCCTCATCAAGTCGAACTGAGGACGGCGTGTCCTTGGAGGTTGCTGGAGCGGATGGCAAGTCGACTTGCATAGAAGCCAAACGCCTTCTCGTCGCCTTTGAGCCTACAGCAGAGAGCATGGCACCTTTCAATCTCGACGAGACTGAATCCGAGGTCTTCGACAAGTTCGGCTTCGCCACCGTCTATGCAGGCATCCTTCAGCATCCCTCACTACAACTCAGCACGGCCTACTCAAATAGGTTGCCTGAGACCGGCTCCAGCAACAACACAGTCTTCCCGACTCCCTCTCAGGTCGGCCGCATTGACTACCTCGGCGGAACCCAGAATCTCTTCCAGTTCACGGCAGTTGGCACTGAGAGTGATACCTCCGAGAGCATGAAGACACTTATTGGTCAGTCCATTGATACGATGATCGAGGCCGGCACTATTCCCGCTTCAAACGGCTCGCTCAGCTTCGCTGCATTCGCAAACCACGGCAAGATGCACCCGCGCGTCACGGCTGATGACCTCCGTGCCGGTTTCATCCAGAAGCAGGTCGGCCTTCAGGGTCACCTCTCCACTTGGTATACGGGAGCTGCCTTTTCCGCAGGCTTTTCGACTGTTGTGTGGGAGTATAACAATGTCCTCTTGCCCAGGTTGGTAGCAAGCCTCTAATCATTCTGAGAGGTATGGTGTCGACAAGGAAAGTTTTCTCGTACCATGTATCGTGAAGACTGGCTTAAAGTTTTAAGGGTTTTCCCCTTCAAGTACATTTTTCAAATATTAAAACTTAATTTTATCACGGTGCTTTATTCCATGCGCCATTTCGAGTCAGAAGGATAACCACATCGATGCATTCAATGATAGATGCCCACTGAGTGGCCTTCAAAAGTGGCGCGGCCCTCCAATCGCGATCGCGGTTTAGCCAGTCGCAGATCTGCCAACTTTTCAAGGGGAAAATATGTGAAAAGATCGCTCTTTGTGCCGCGGTGTCTGAAGATCCGTCAACCTTGTCACCTACCCAGGCCCATACTACGGTCTCTCGCGAGGCTCTTTCCTGAAAACGAAGAAAATGGTACTAGACGTAGCATTCATATCTCATCGGTGAAGTCCCCACAATATGCATGTCGATGCCGCCACATGCACAGGCGGCCGCGCGCCGTTGCGCTGCAGAAATCAGGACATGTGGAAAAGAGACTCCGCAGTGGAAACTGCCGCAACTTTCCACTCAGAGAGGCATTTGCCGTGTTCCCCGGTTTCCGATCCTCTTTTTCTGTCCTAAATAGGATGTGACTCCGATCTTACCTTGTTGCATTTGTGTTGGTGGTCTCGATTTCCATCAACCCCCGCTAATGCGAACCAACGGTTGACAAGGATGACATGGCCCGGACGTGTTGGCGCAGGGGTTTTCGGGAACAACAACGGAGGTCTTTCGGGTCAGATTTACTTACTCTGCAGGCGAATGCTCATTGAACTCTGAAGAAATCAGTAGGTTAGATCCATCACACGGGGATCAAGTGATGAAATAAACATACCAATAAGCATGACGAGAAGACTAGACAGGGGGCGGAATAGTGCGATCAGATACAAACTGTTTAGGACTAACCCTCAAATGGTGTACAAGATTGATGCAGACGAGGTTTTTGTTGATGCCTCCTCTGCTTTCTCGCAATATGAAAGCATACATATTGTCAAGACGTTTGATTTTTGAAAGTATTTGACAATGTGATGGAAACCCTAACACAACGAAACGGCTCAGCATTAAGGTTGGTTCCAGCTAAGCCACCTGGGTCTTCTAGATTAAAAAAGAGTCGATGATTTGTGTGTTCAATTTCGATCTTAACCCTCTCCTACAAAACCCCAGCTGCCACCACATTGTAGCTGTCACCAACTTGATTCTTAGGGGCCTTGCATCATTTACCCAGTCATATTGGCTCGGCTGCATACTCCGTGCTACAAGCGCTCAAGTTAAAATCTCAGAACTCACATCAACTCAAAATAATCGGTATCGATGCGGGGTTCTCATAGTGCCCAGCCGCGTCATCCCACCCGGGGCCCGGGTCCGCTCTTCCTGCAGTTTGGCGACGATCTAATGTGGGAGCTGCTGTAGTCTTGAGAAAATCGCCGAATGCCGTGCATTGTTTCATTTACATTTAATACTTCTGGTTCTCTAACTGTACCTGTAGACTACAGACAGTCATCCTTTATACACACAACACATTGACTTCTTCACCATGTCTACTTATGATGTCAAGGGCAAGTTCGCCGTCGTCACTGGTGGTGGCTCAGGTACGTAAACCCTGGTACAAACTTTGGATCGACTCTGATTCTTTGTCTTTCGCGGACAAGGCATCAACCATGCCTTCGTTCAATTGCTGTTAGAAGCCGGTTGCTCGGTGGTCATCGCCGACCTCAAGCTCACAGCCAATGCCGAAGCCACGGTTCAGAAGTACTCGAAGGAGAATGTCAGCTCAAACGGAGCCTACGCCGTCTTCCACAAGACAGACCTCGTCGACTGGAGCCAGATCAACTCCTTGTGGGAGACGGCACTTAAAACATTTCCTCAGGTCGATATCATTTGCAACGGCGCCGGTCTCTACGAGCCTCCTTCCAGCTCCTTCTGGACCCTGCCCGGCGTCTCTCCCTTGGCAAAAGACGACGCCAACGCCAAGATCGGGCAGTACCAGACCTTCAGCGTCAACGCCATTGCCCCGATCCGCTTGGCCCAAATCGCGGTTGACTACTGGCTCCAGAACCGCCACATCAAAGGCAATATGATCTGGGTAGCCAGCATAGGCGCGTACGTCCACTCGGTGCACACACCGATGTACTTTGCCAGTAAGGCGGCTGCCATCAGTATGGTGAAGAGCCTTGGTCGGCTCCACAAAGAAGTCGGAATCAGAGTCGCGGCCGTCTGCCCTGGAGCGACCTACGTACGCTCCTCCTTACCTCCGCTCATAACGTTGGCTGTGCACTGACTTCATGCCAGACCGAGATCTTCCAACCCGAGTACTGCCGTGACCGGATTCGTCCCGATGACCTGTCAATGACACCGCAGCAACTTGCTAGCGTCATGATGCGTGTGCTCACAGAGCCAGAGTTTGGTGATGGCAACATCGTCGAGGCTATGATGCTGGGAAACAAGAACAATTCGTCACTGGGAGTACGAGAAGTGCCCATGCACCTGCTTTACCCGTCTTGTGGGGCTGGTGAGGACCACCATCTAGTAGAGGAGGAAGAGAAGATGGTGGTGAACCTCAAGGAGCACGGGATGCGCGGCTAGTTGCTTGTCAACTCCCGATACCACATAGTATGTGTGTTCGTCGTAGGCTTTGCGCAGAGTATCAACCTTGGGAACATGATCAACCGAAACATGATCAACCGAAACATGGTCAACGTTGCGGATCTGGCTTTGACTTTCAACTACCCCTGCATGGACTTGGCGGGTCGACGCCATCCTTGAGAAGCTTGAAAGCCCCCGGCTCCACCGCACTAGACTCCAATCCAACGATGCAAATTTGCCTCGCTTTCCACAACTCCACATCGTCTTGACTATCGTGGGGATATCAAATTCTTTCCGCGGCTGTCCCAGCATCCACCAGCAATCCAAGGGTTTCCGAAGATCGCATCTGGGAGGGTGGCCGAGTTGGTTATGGCGCCAGGTTAAGGTCAGCTTAACATCTGTTTCCTGGTGGGGCAACCCGCGCGAGTTCGAGTCTCGTCCCTCTCAAGATTTCCTTTTTGCCTTGTATCACAATCATTTGAAACAAACATAACAGGTTGTTGATAAAGACTGCGTGTTGATTACACGCATACGAAATAGACAACCCTCTTTTGCCGCAGTCAGATTTAAAGGTCGCTTCTCTTTAATTGAGGCGGCGTTGGAGTTTTCGGTCTTTTTATATGTGCGAGTTGTTCGCATGGCATGTCTGTGCAGGGAAGATGCCTTGACTTTCAAGTAGCGGTGTGCTTTGACTCGAGATGAATCGTGGTCGATATTGTCGGCATGCAACCCAAGCGGTGTGGGCTTGTATCCTTGCTTCTCGGCATTGCGAAAGCAACGTTGACAACTCTTCAATGACACCCTCGGGATTTCTGAATCTAGAAATCTTCCGAGCTGCTGCAGATTTGACATGCCTGGGTGGGTATCCATCAGATTCAAGAATGAGCTGAACTTTGGAAAAACCACAGGATGAACAAAAGCATTGTAAGTAGATCATAGTAGACTTCGCAACGAGTAGTCCCTCAAAGTTGTCAGACAACTCGTAGCACCATTGCGGGAGTAGATAACAGGGAGTAGGGAACACAAGAACAACTCGCAGCACTTCCTAAAATAGAGTAGATCTACGACCAGGGCCAAGATTAGCGAGTGTATCCCTCCGGGCCTCCTCATCCGATCGCACAAGTAGTCAAAAATGAACTTTCGGGAGTTGTATCAGCACAGACGAGACCGGCGGGTATCTCCAACGGCCACGGCCACGGCGGCGTCAAGGCCCCCGACCACCGAAATGACTAAGGTCGCATCCACAGCGACCACGATACTTTCCATGGGCTTTCTAACGTCTAAACTCTGAATGGTTCCACGGAATCGTCCGGATTCAGAACCGTCCGTAGTAGTATAAGGCGACGGCTGTTCCCCCGCACTGGTGGTGGGACGGTTTGCCACCTTTCGACGACTACCGATAGTTCCGGGGACTCGATTGCTCAGTTTACTTTCGGAGGGTAATTCCGTTGCTGTTCTCGGTCTCGGAAACTCAATTGCAACACCCTCGAACTGCAGCCCGAAGACTTCTCTGGGTTGGTAGCAAATCAATCAGCATGCTCACCGTGGACTTGGTCACCCGATTGGCGGTATACAATCCGGGATTACTGCCTACTATTGCATTTTTGGCAGTATGTGTTGGTGTTCTTGGCTGGTATTGGAGGGAAGATAGGCCGTATCGAGGATTCAAACTCATCGGTCAAGAAAGCGGCGATTGGTCTTATCAGAAAGCTCGGCTGCGATGGAACTCGGATGCTCTCGAACTACTAAGAGATGGCTTTGAGCAGGTGGGACTGGCTTCAGACTGAGTGAAGAAACATTTCTGATCGATAGTAGACAAACGGCAAACCATTCCAGGTCCTTTCTCCTTTTGGCCCATTGGTCATGTTGCACCCGCGCATGTCTGAAGAAATCAGGAACGACAAGCGATTCACCTTCACTGGCTTCATCGAGAGGGTATGTGCCTCTGACTATCTTGGAGATTGCATTATGACCTTCACCATCTTCCTTATTCTTCTCTTGAGTCAAATGCACAATCCCGTCAACACTATATGGCTCTATCAGAAGACTTGCTGACCTCCTTTGAAGCACTGGCTTACTCGCTACCCTGGTCTCAACGTCCTTCAAGACGGTCTAAAAGACGAAATAATCCAAGAAGCCATTCGCCGGAATCTTAACCAGGAACTCTGTACTACCCTCTCTTCGCCTCGTCTCCGTCAAGCAAATGGCTAACACCACCCGCCAGTGCACATAACCGAACGTCTCTGTGAAGAAACCAACCTCATCCTCAAAGAGCAACTCCCGTCGTCCAAAGGTTGCCCACCCCAATTCCATCTCGGAAGCTTCATCTCAAACTAATCAACTCCCCAGAATGGCAAGAAGTAAAATTCTTCCCTGTCGCCTTGCAGCTCTCCTCCCGCCTCTCCGCCAAAATCCTCCTCGGCGACCGCCTCGCCCGCTCAAAACAATGGGCAGCCCTCTCCATCTCTTTCGCCTCCCTGATCCTTTCCGCAGGCCGCGACCTCCGCCCGTGGCCCGTCCTCCTGCGCCCGCTCGTCCACCGCTTCCTCCCCTCCCTCAACCTCCTCCGGTCCCAAATCGCGCTAGCCAAGGAACTGATGGAGCCCGAGCTCGCGGCAGCACGCAGCCAGACCCGAAAAGACGCTGACGAGAAGTCGAAGGACTCGCTTTCGTGGATCGAGGAGGTGCGGCGCGGACGGGAGTTCGACGTTGTCGCTGGGCAGCTGTTTCTGACTTTTGCAGCGATCCACACGACGTCCTCTATCTTGACTGCGTTGATGTATGATTTGCTCGCGAACCCCGAGTACTTTGGGCAGCTGAGGGAGGAGATTGTGAGGGTATTTGGAGAGGAAAACGGGTGGAGCAAGAACAGCTTGTACAAGCTCAAGTTACTGGACAGCTGTTTGAAGGAGACGGCGCGCTTACACGTCCTCGGACCTCGTGAGTGACTTCACACTCTGATTCTGATCTGTTGCTGACATCATGGGCCGCGCGACAGACATGTTCAATCGCAAGGTAGAGGCCCCAGTAACCCTCTCCGACGGCACGCACCTCCCCAAAGGCGTCCACGTCAGCATCTCAACGTGGCAGAACCGCGACCCCGCCATCTGGGGGCCCGACGCGGACAACTTCGACGGGCACCGGTTCCTCCGGATGCGCGAGCAGCCCGGACAGGAGAATAGATGGCAGTTCGTCTCGACAAGTCCCGAGTGGCTTGCGTTCGGGCATGGCATGCATGCGTGCCCGGGCAGGTTCTTTGCGAGCAATGAGATGAAGATTGTGATGGTTCATCTGATCATGAACTACGACTGGAAGATCGTTGGGGAGAAACTGCCGGGCAGCATGTTCAAGAGCAGATTCGTGCCGGACGTCAAGACTGTTGTGGGCTGTAAGAAGAGGGAACCTGAGATTCAGCTATGAAGGGACGTGATACAGAACAGGTAGACAAAAGAAAAGTTCAACACAGGACACATGCTGTTTGACCAAGGGCGTTTGCAGACAAGAGAAAGACAAAGATCAGCCACAAGAACAATGACCGACAACGACACCGAAAAAGGCAAAAAGAGAACTGGAAGCTTCAATCGCTGACGGGAATTGAGCCCGACGTGGGGGTCGAACCCACAACCTTGAGATTAAGAGTCTCACGCTCTACCGATTGAGCTAGCCGGGCGATTTGAAACCCAGTACTGGCTGGAAATTGTTGCAGGTCTGAGGACGCAGAGCAGATTATGGAGCGCGGGAGAAAGAGGTGTGGAAATCAAGGTGAAAACTTTTCATAGTCCTCGTCCGGGGCGGGGCCGGAGCTAGGTCCGGAAATGGGGCCGAACCACCACGCGCGGACTTGTACTAAGAGCAGAACCCTGAGTCGTGGGGCCCTGTTCGTCTAGTCTCTGCGGCACCATCCGCTGCAAATGTACGATTTAAAGTTGCGGGATATTTGGCCATGTTTCAAGGCCCCTAGAGACGGTCCGTTTGTCTAAACCAAGGGAAACGTACGTCACCGAACGCGCGCGGAACAAGTTGCTGCTTTGGCCGAGACATGACTTACGCGCCCGACACCATGAGAGTCTCACGAGTCGTCAACTATGCAGGTTTGCAACTTATGGTTAATAAGGTGGTGTTGCGCTTGATGTCGCGGTAATCAAGGATGAAAATAACGTTTGGAGACATAAGAAAATCCATTTTCGAGTATGTTGTAGCTATACACACTGGCAAACCACCTGGTCTGCCCCTTTTTCATCCTAGTGTCATCAGACCTCCGCCGCCAAAGCCATATCAATACATGCAGTATGATGAACATCAGATACCGCTTCCATTACCACATGCTCCACGTGATCGCCTCTAGTGACCACCTCCTCTCGCCCTCTTGGCGCCACCTGCTCCCCCGGCTTCCGAATCTCCTCTCGGCCTCTTGTTTCCAGGCTGGAAGTCATTAGCACCAGGGTTCATCGCGGAAGCATGTCCGCCTCTAGCACCGCCACGTCCACCACGAGCACCTCCGCCTCTCTCGGCTCCTCCACTCGACACTCTATTGCCAGCAGCGTAAGCACCTCCACGGCCACGGGCAGTTGCGCCTCCACGTTGTCCAGGCATGGGAATGCCGGTGCTGCGTGTGGCCGGCTGATTCTGCGTCGCAGGCTGCTGGGCTTGGCCTTGTTGTCCTGGTGCTTGGGCAGCTTGGGCAAAGGGGTTAGCCTGGCCCTGGCCTGACTGAGCAAAAGGATTCGGCTGAGCAGCGTTGGTGCCAGCGAACGGATTGCCCGCAGCATTTGCTGCTTGTTTGTTATCCGAAGGAGCGGGGATCTGTCGCTTGACTTGGGGAATGCCACTCGATGGCTGAGGGATGCCGCTGCCAGGCTGAGGAATGGCGCTGGGTGGTTGAGCAGCAGGTTGTGCCTGGTTGGTCGCGGCCGGCGGTGCTTGAACTATGTTAGAACCATGAACATGTTGAGAACTGACAGTAGAGAACTTACCACTTGCGTTTGCAGCGCCTTGTGCCGGCGCTGCGGCAGCGGACGGTGCCGAAATTGAGGGGCGAGGCTGCGCGTTGGCGGCAGGCTTCGCGGGGGTGGGTTGTGCGGGAGCTGGTTTGGCAGCCTTCGCCTCCTCCCAGACTTCGCCAACGGGTCTCTGAGGAGTCTGGGTAGCAGCGGTAGAGACAACCTCGATCTTGGCGTTGGCGCCACGAAGTTGGTTGTCCTTCATATTGATTTGCAATGCCGACTTCTTCTGCGCCAGCATCTGGCCCTCCTCGCGAGCGTCCTTGATCCGTTGCTCGAACTCGACCTTCAAAGTCGTCTCCGTCTCACTCTTGACCTTGGCAGTTTGCTCTTCAAGCTTCTTACGCAGATTGGAAGACATGATGCTCCGCACCGTCGGGTTGGTGGACAGAAACTTTCGGATCTCAGCATCAGGCAGCTGTGAAAGATCTGTTGTGCCGCCAGGAGTGCTTGTAATTGGTGTTGTCGGAACGGCATCGGGATCGTGCTGCTGCTTGATAGGGGTAGCAGCAACGGCGGGCTGCTCTTCTGAAGGCTTGGTCGGGGCGGCGCTGGCATTCTCGGCCTTCCAGATAATCTTCTCCTGCTCCAATTTGGTCTTGAACTCCGCATCCAGCTTCTCGCGTGACTGGCGCAGCTTCTCGTTCAAGGCGTTGCGCATCTTGTCCGATCGCTCCTTGATGGTCTGTTGGATATTTTCCTCCAGCTCCTGTGCCTTGCGCTCGGCTTCCGCGGCCTTGGCCTCCGCCGCAGCGATCTTCTCCTCCAAGACCTTGCGCTGCTCGTCAGTCAGGCCACCTGCACCGTTCGTGGTAGCCGCTTCTGCCGGGGCAGCTTGGACAGCGTCAGCCGCAGCTGGGGGTTGTGACTGAGCAGCTTCCTGTGCAGTCTGGACGGTCTGGTCCCTCTCGGCGACAACTGTCTGGAGTTGCGCGCGAAGGTTCTCGAGCTCCTGCTCGGCGCTTGCCTTCTGCGCAGAGACCGCATCGAGCTGGGTGCGGATCTCCGTAAGCTGTTGCTCAAGCTGGGCAACAACCTCAGTAGACACAGATGCGGACGGATCAGACGCAGGCTGGGGGGCAGCAGCGGGTGGCTGAGCGGTCTGGCCATTCGCCTGAGCTTCTTGTTGCAACTTCTGCACCTGCTGCTGGAAGTTCTGAATCTGTTGCTCAAACTCGGTGCGCTGCTGGGTCGTGGCCTGCAGGTTCTGCCTCGTGGTCTCTAGCTCGGTGTTTGCGGAGGACAATTGTTGCAAGAGCTGCTCCTTCTCGGCGATGGCGGCATCCTTCTCGGCAATGGCCTCGTTCTTGGCGGTAAGTGCCTCGTTCCTCTCGCCGGTGATCTTTCTCGAGCGTTCCTTGAATTGTTCTGTCATGCGCTGGCGAGTGTTCTGCCAGCCCGCCTTCTCCGTCTCCAGCAGCTGCTTCGCCTCCTCAAGCTCAGTTCGTAGAGGGCCCTCGCCTTCCTTGAGAGCATCACGCTCAGCCTGGAGATCAGCGATGGTTTGCTTGAGTTGCTCCATTTCAGCAGGATCGACGCGGCCATACTTCGTAAGAATGCCCTCAGTGCGCTTCTGCCATCTGTCGCGGTCCTCCTGAACTTGCTTAATCTCCTCCTCGAGGAAGCCCTTTTGCGTCTGAAGCTCCTCGATGCGGGCCTCGAGAGGCTGGACCTTGCCCTCAAGCTCCTCGATCTTGGTGTTCTTCTCCGCGATTTGAGCGCGTGCCTGGGCTAGCTCGTTACGCAGGGTGGCGCTGCTCTCACGATAAAGGTTGAGTTCGTTCAGCTTCTCCATGAGGTCTTTGTGGGCAATGGACGCCTGCCCGCTCTCGGACTGGGAACGACGCTCTTGGTCGAGCTTCAAGCGAGCTTCGTCCAGTTGAGACTGAGAATACTCGAGCTGTTGCTGCAGGCGCTTCGCCTCCTGCACCTTCAGATCGTATTGTACTTCAAGAATCTCCTTTTCGCGTCTAAGGTAGTTGTTGAGCTCGCGAAGGCCGTCGGCAGCACTGTCGTTGCCACCCTCGGTGTCCCCGTTGGTGTCGTCCGTAGAGGCGGTCCTGCTTTGCTTCAAGTCCGAGAATTGTTTGGTGATGCTCTCGAGCTGCTCGTGTAGAAGCTTATTCTGAGCGTTCACATCATCGCGGCGGGCCTTGATCTCAGCCATCTCTTGCTCCAATCGCTGGCGACGCTCCTCCCAAGATCCTTCGCTCTGGGTGAGGGCAACCTTAGCAGATTCGGCCTCGGCCTTGAGGGTAGCAGTCTGGCTCTTCAGCTTGTTGTACTCTGTCCGAAGCTGCTGAACCAGCTTGGCTGCCTCGGCGTGCTTGACCAGTTCCTGTTCGTAGTCTTGCTGGGCCTTGGCGGTGATCTCGGACTGAGCACGAAGATCCTGTTGGTGGAACTTGGCTGCCTCAGAGTGGCGCTCGGATTCCTCCTTCAAGCGCTTGATCTCGTCATCCAAAATCGTCTTCTCATCTTCGTACTTGCGGGCCACCTCAGCCTGGGAGTCGCGCAGGTGAGAGAGCTCCTTGTTGGAATTAGCCAGCTCGGAAGAAAGATCTTCAACGCGCTGCTCCAACTCCTTGATCTTGGCGTCCTTGCCAGACAGGGTCGACTCCATCTCCTCTCTGAACTGGTCATGCGAGGCAGTAAATTCGGACAAGGCTTCCTCATTCTGCTCACTGAGCTGCTTGTACGACTCAGCCTGCTCCTTGGCGGTCTCAAGGTGGGCCTTGGCCATGTCAAGCTCCCTCTTGAGGTCAGAGACCTCATTGATGAGCTCGCGAACCTCGGCCTCATTCTCCTCATTTGTCGGTGCAGGCGGCGCCATGGTGCCGGGTCGAGGTGTGGGTCGTGGCGCAAGTCTGCCAGCGCGCTCCTCGGCACTGCGAAGCTCGATGGTGAGCTCGTCAACACGAGCCTGGAGATGATCCCGGCTGGTCTTAATGGCGACGTGCTCCTCGCGGATCTGGCTGAGGCTGGTGGATAGCTCGTCAATCCGCTTCTGCGCCTCGCGAGCATCAAACTCCTTTCGTAGCTGCAATTTCTTGCCCTCCTCCATCTCGTCGGACAACTTCCTCTTGGTGTCGTTGAGCTCTTGCTCGAGGCTGTCGATCTTGGTCTGGGTCTTTCGTCTATACTCGGATTCGGTGATGTCGCGTTCATTCTGCATTGACTGTTGAGTAGCCAGCAGGTTGTTGAGGCGTGTCTTTTCTTGGACAAGATTCTCGTTGTCCTGGTTGAGGCGATCCTGAATATCCTTCCACAACTTCTTCTCTGCCTTGAGATTAGCGGCCTCGTTGCGAATGCTCTCCAGCAAGCCCTTGGCGTCGACCAGCTCTTCAGCAACCTGTTGCGTCCGGATCTCCTGCTTGATAGAGTCCTCGGACAGGGACTGATTGCGCTTCTGAAGCTCCTTGTTCTCGCTCTGCAGAGCAACAAAGTTGGAGTGAAGCATCTCGTATCGCTCGGAAGCCAGAGTAATTTGGCTGGAAATCTTGGCGACCTCGCCCTGCAGGCTGTTCTTCTCGCTCGAGAGTCTATCAATCTGTTCTCTGAGAGATCGTCGAACAGACTCCTCGTCGTTACGATAAGTATCAAATTCCACTTGCAGAGCACGGAGAGCAGCAGATGGGGACACGCCGTCGCCATCTTCCGTCTCGATGCTAGCGAGCGGCAGGCGTTGACCGTCCTCAGAGCCACCCAAGATAGAGGCGAGCTCCCCGGCGGACGCCTTTTGTTGAAGCAAACGGCGGAACATGTCACGCTCGGCCTTGAAGCTTTCCATTGTCGTTCTCAGTGACTTCGTCTCGTTGATCATGCTGGCGAGTTCCTGTTGCAGACGCTCAACAGCCTGGTGGTCCTCGACCGCCTGGTTCTTGGCGGCCACGGCTTCCTCGCTCTCCATCTGCTCGGCAAGCTCGCGGGTAACGCGAAGCAGTTCCTGGTTCTTGGCTTGAAGCTCCTGGATGTCCTTGAAGACGACGAACTTTTGCGTGATGAACTGGTGGGTGTCGGACATGTCGGAGAGCGCGCCCTCGGTGATCTCGCCTCGGGAGAGCTGCTCGAGGCGGACAGTCTCCTCGCGCGTCAGCTGGTCAAGACCCTTCTCGCGGGCGTGCATGTTGAAGACCAGCATCTGGATCTGGGTGCTGAGATCGCGGACTTGAGTGCGGAGGATCTTGGACTCAGCTTGGGCGTTTGCCAGCGCACTCTCTGCCTTCCTGGCGCTCTTCTTAGCGGCATCGCGCTCCTCGAAGCTGGTCTGAGATAGCTCAGACATGTGGGTGATCTCGGCTCTCAGTGAGTCGGCCTCATTCTGCAGTTCCTCGATCTCGGGGGACTTGGCCTCCAACAGCGCAATCATGTTGTCGAGCTCTTCGGCAAGCTGCTGGTTCCGGCGCTTCTCTCCGGCCAACTGGCCCTTGACCTTGTATAAATCTTCGATGGCTTGGGTGGCGGTAATCGCAGACCTGGCACGGGCAGAGCCAGGTGTTGCGAAGGGCGAAGCAGGGCGGCCGAGCAGCGAACCGTTCATGCGAGGAGTCTGAGGAGCGGGGGAGCCGGGAGGAGGGCCTTGCTCCATTCGGGCGTGGACCTGATCAAGTTCGCCTTCGAGCTGCGTGATCCTTTCTTCAAGCTCGCGGCACGTCTCCTTCTCCCTCTCAAGTTCCTGCTGAATCCTTCGAATCTCGTTGGAATGTTTCTCCTTCAAAGACTCCTTCTCACCCTCGAGGGTCTGCACGCGCTTCTTGTGGCTGTCGGCAAGCTGGTTTGTCATCTCGACGACACGCTGTTTGTTCTCCAGCTCGTGCTTGTAGCTTTCTTCGCTGCGTGCAAAGGCCTCCTGCTGCTGTTGAACCTTGGTCAGAGCCTCCTCGGCCTTGGCCTGGGCGGCATCGAGACGGTCTCGCAGTTGCTGCTCGCTTCGCTTGAGGGCCTCGATGTTCGACTTGGCATCCTCGTTCTGACGCTGCAGCTCGGCGATTCGGGCTCCCTTTTCGCGGCGGTACTTCAAGGCCTCGTCGCTCTTGGTCTTGAGCTCGGTCTCGAACCATTCGCTGTTGCGTCGCGCAAGGTCGAGCTGTTGCTGGAGGGATTCTTCGCGGTACTTGGCGCTGCTTACCGCTGCCTGCGCGCTCTGGACCTGTTGTTGGAGAGATGTGATTTCCTTGTTCAGCTGTACGTTCTTTTGGTGCTGCTTCGCAAGCTCCTCGGAGAGCTCAGAGTCGCGGGCATTGCGCGACTCCAGCAGAGCCATATTTGCGCGGTTAGAAGATTGAAGGGACTCGATGCGGTCGCGGAGGGTCGTGATTTCGGAATCGTAGTCGGAACCACGGGACTTGAGGGATTGGAGCTCATTCTCGACCGTTTGTCGTTTCGTCTCTGTGAATCATGGGGTCAGCAAGATGGGAAGATACTAACGAGTGGGAACGGAAGGCAGGCACAAACCTTCCTCCTTGAGCTTCTGGCGAACTTCCTCCACGTCCTTCAAAGCCTTGTCGGCGGTCGCCTTGAAACTCTGACATTTCGACTCGGCACTGTGGTTCGCGCTCTCAAGCTCGATGTCGACCTGCAGTTTTTGCGCATACAGCTCATCGTACTCGCGAGCCTTAGAGATGACGGCCTCCAGAAGGCTTGCGACGAGCTCGGGGGTAGGTTCGGTTGTGACGGTCGACACAGTCGACTCAGGCAAGCCGAGGTGGCCAGCTACGTAGCCGACGTCCACCGCCGCTGCCATTATGATTTTTTCTCAGATTCTGCTTCTCGACATCGAACGGAAATCGTGGCAAGGGAGGGATAGAATCGAGAAAGTCGAGTGGCGGTGATGGCGTCGCGTGTTGGCACCCCGCCTGTCGAAAGGTGTCTTGCACAGGGGAAGGCTCGAAATAGTACAATAACAAAGGAAATAAAGAGTCGAAGCCGTGTCTTCAGACGGCAGTCACCCAAACGCCGCGTTTGGTGATCGAGACGTCGTTGAAGGGGTGATGGGCGACGAAAAGTTGGGGTGATTGTAAGCGACGACAGGAGACGACAATCGCAAGATTTTGGCCAGGCGCGACCGATGTTTTCTTGGGTTGGGCGGCCTGAGCACCTGGACAGGATGCAAGGCTGCTCTGTCCACCTGGAGAAGCTGCATCCAGCAACGGGGTGACAGCGAAGGCGCTTTTTGGGCCAATCAAAGCGCACAGAGCTTGGAGCTGCCTGGCTCACCGACAATCACCCGGATGACTCAGCCATAGCTGTGGCCGTCGGTGGGTCCAATGAAGTCAGAGCTGCTGACCGAGGACCCTGTCGGTGAAGTCGGTGAGAATTCTCGGTGAGGTGGCGTTCATCAGCTGGGAGAAGGACACACGATGAACTATGCGTGAAAGTCCCCTTCTAACCAATCAAACTTGACAAAACTTGTCTGACGGCTTTTATGTGACCCTAGAATGAGATTTAGCTATCAAAAGAGTGCATCGGCGCGGTTGCGTTAGCAGTATGAATTATTTGTTATTTCATTGTATCATGTCTAATTCAAGTATTGCTGTAGTAGAACTGCCGCCAGGTCAACTACAACATCAGTATCCCACAACCTGAATGAACGCCCACATATCTTCCTGTCATGTTCAAGTGTTTCATTATCCATTATTTACCAATTTTCGGAAGCCTAACATCTCTCTAATCCTTATGCCCATGTCAGCTACCGTCTCTGATGGCCGGAATCCAGCTCAGAATACCCCGGCGTCGGCCCCGAGTGCCATCCAATTCCCTGAAGCTCCGCTCTCTGCTGACCCGGTACCTGATAGCTCGCCTGCTGTGCCCCGAACGCCTGATGAATCGGCTGGCCGTGCGCCTCTACCGGCATAGTCTGCCCCTGAGGCTGCGCGTAACCGCCAACCTGCAGCTCAGGCGGCAACGGCAAACTCTGTCCATACTGGTTCCCGTAGCCTCCATGAGACTGCAGCTCAGGGGGCATATACTGTCCGCCGGGCTGCAGCTGCCCGTTGGTATTCGCCGGCATCTCAGGCACAGGGGGCGTGTGGCCTTGACCAGGCAGCTCCGCCCCCACCGGCGACTGTCCAAACCCACCGCCACCGTACGCCGACGCCGGCGAGATGGTATCTGGCCGCGGGGAGCTTACTTGAGAAACGGTCATCGAGGGGCTCTTGGGTGGTAGCTCGGTAAGCATGGTGCCCCCCAGCTCCGGCTTTCCAGTCGCGTCCGGCGGGCCAATGGTCGAAGCCAGAGGCAGCTTGGTCTTCTTCCTGCGGCGGTAGATGAGGAATGCCACGAGGCCGGCGATGCTAAGCGCTCCGACAAGCGCGATAACGCCGCCAATGATGATCCCGATACCCGGGCGGCTCGAGCTGGTTCCCGTGCCGCCGGATGTGCCGTCAGAAGTGGCGGTGCCCGTGGGCTGGGCGCCCGAAGTCCCTGATCCCGTACCCGTCTTCGCAGTGGGGTAAGTTTGAGCAACTGCATTGGTTAGCCCATCAAAAACACAAAAGCGTTGGGAATAGGTTCCTACTTGACTCGGCCACCGTCGCGACCACCGCCCCCTTGGCCGCACTACAGTAGTAATCCAGCACACCCAACGCCGACGAGATATCCGCCGACGCGGTCGAGGTACAGTACCACTTGACATCCGACGTCAACGTGTTGCTAACGATAGCCGTTACGCCGTCCTTAAGACACATACACGAGGCCAGTGCCTTCGGGCCGCTCGGGCAGAGGTCCCTTGAGATAGAGTACATCGCGTCCGACATGCCCGACTGCGCGCAGGGCACCAGCGAGCTGTACTGCGAGAGCGCGGTGATGTAGTACGTCATGTCGCCGGGCGGCGGCGTCGGCGTCGGGAAGGCGGTGGTGCCCTTGTTCATGGCGCAGTAGGCGTCGTAGAAGTCGCCGGCGGACGTGACGTCGGCCGCGTTGGAGCACGAGTACCGGACGAGCGACGCGATGGAGCGGCTCACGCGCGCCGAGTTGTCGTTCTTTGCGCAGATGCAGGGCGCCATCAGGCTGGCTGGCTCGGGGCACAGGGACGTCTGAAGATGGATGTCAGGTCTGCGTCTGTTATACCATCACGGAGGCGGAGCTTACCATCGAGCTGATGGCGTATGATACACCAGACTGGGCGCACGGCGCCATGTTGGAGAAAGCGGGGACGTCAGTCGCATATTGCGTGACAATGTTCGTTGTCGGCGTCGCGAAGGTGATTAACGAGTCGGGATTGCAGTACTGGCTGATGACGGCGGCGACACTGGTCTGGTCGTCTGAAGCTGACGAGCCGCAGCTGTAGCTAACGGTCTTGGAGATGGAGGAGGTGATGGCGGCCAGGTTGTTGTTTTTCGTGCAAATGCATGACTGCAGATCTGTTGGAGCTTCGCCGCAGGCCGAGTATGTCTGAGAGAAGATGTTGTATGAGATGGCCGTCTGGGCGCATGGTGCCTAGTATTGTCAGCTTCCGGGATTTGAGGGCATCTCCAATCAGACCGAGGGATCCGATGCAAACCAAAACTTACCAGTAACGTGTAGATGGACAGGTCTGTCACATAGACAATGTTGGCAGCCGCTGCCACACCGCTGATGTACAGAGACAACAAAGACGGTATCAATATCCGAGCCATTCTCAAAATCAAAGGACCATGCAAAGGCCCGAAATAATGGAACGACGAAGACGCCGGGACAATAGTGACAGAGAGGGCCCTCAAAGAGGATGTCTAAGAGAAGAGAACACAGCAATCTCCCCTCCTGGGGAAGAAGAACATAGGCGCGGGGAAAGCATAAAGCTCGAATTCGCATCAAGCCACATCCTATTCCGCACCCCCTGGACGAGTTAGTTCCGCATCGCGGAGTGGCAGATTTGGTGGTTTGACGGGCGATCACTCCATGAGGCACACTTTACCCCTGTCACGATAGCGCCAAAGCAGCCCGCGCCCCCCCTGCCAGCTGAAAAGCAGCCAAGGGCGACCTCAACGTGATCTGATCCCGCGAATGACGGAGTCAGGTTGAACGATTCTGCCTGGGACGAACTCCACTCGCGGCACCAGAGCGACTTAACTCATCTGAGGACGAAGAACCGAGGTGGTTCGGCAACACGGAGCATGCTGGAGCATCTGGAGACTGGCACCCATCATCCCGAGCGAACGTCTCGCAATCACACCGTCGACCGTTGGAGATAGGAGACACGATAACGGCGTCTCCACGCGATTTTCAGCTGAAGCGGCATGGCGTCGCGCAATCAAAGACGACCCTTGCTGGCCAGAGAGCGGCTAGTGTTGGCACACATGGCAATGCGATTTGGAGAGGCTGCTAGGCTGCGTCAAGCAGGATGCGCTTGATGATTCCGATACCGCAGTTGGCAGTATCCTTTCGGCATGACTCCGAGAACTCCTCCAAGTTGACTCACGAAACCTAGATACGGATACGCTTCTTGCGCTTGCTGTGGGGTTCTTGTTCACGTTGACGGTTGACGATGATGGGTCGCGCGAAATTGAGTCGGGCGCCAGCGAACGCCACAAACAGGGACCTGCAGCAGTTCAAACGTGAGCGCCCAAGGCCATTGGTCGAGCAAGGACGAAGTGCCCGACAAAAATATGTCCGGCTGTCTTTGGCGTGCAGCGTCAAATTGCTGGCAGGGCGACTTAGCGTGAGGTTGAAAGAAGCAGTGCTCCATCTGCCATGCGGCCTACCTCCGTGCCTGAATGGACTTTGAGTGCTGACAGGGGGCCAAAGAAACATGGATTCAGTGTTGGAGGAGGGATTCAGAGACATGGAGTCGGCGATGGAAGGGATTGCCCTTGGCAGATGAGGGATGACATAAGCCAACCTAATGGACTCGGCCGAACGGAGCGGATCATCAGCACGGACCTCACACCACGCCTTAGGTAATTAGATCGGCCAGACTGCTTAGGTAAGGCAATCTTCAATCAAGCGCACATGCAATGAAGAGAGACGCCACGCAAATCTCACCTCGCTTTAAGCATGGCACCTCTTGGGCCAGCCGCGTCGATGCTGCACAATATACCGATGTCGCCAAGGTGATCTTCCAAAGTTTATCGTGTGGGATCTACGCCCTGTGGTATCATTCAATCTTGTCAACTACTTCTTAAACTCCGACTTTTCGCCGCCATCACAAGCCTCACCGGTTCTTATCTTGTTCCTCATCCCGCCTGATGATGCCTTCAAAGTCGCCTGGTAACCTCAGGCATCACGCCGTAAATCTCCCTCCATAACCACCCGCCATATCTCCAAAAGAACTCGTCAATCGCAAAGATAGGCGCCTCGATATGCTGTCCCTTTTTGCGCCAGGCGTACAAGCGCACGTACGCTTACACGTCGGGCATGTGCCTTGATTCAGCTTAACGAGGGATGTAGGAACGTCGCTGTTGCTACTGTCTTGCTCGTCTGCTGGAGCCGACTCGATCATGTCGGACTTCGTCGCCAACCTCGGCACTGCCCTCCGTTCCTCGTGTTGGATAGAGCCTTCTCTCTTCCTCTTGTGGGCATCAGTCCCCGTGAAGAGATCACCCGGTGACCTTTCTATCACGGCCATCTTTTCCTCTGAGGCGGCTTTCTCCCGAGCGGCTTTCTCCAGGGCGTCTTTGATAAGCACCTGTTTGGCCAGCTCCTGCCAGAGGCCCAGGCCTATTGCGTCGTGAATAACGGGTGCCTTGACCAGCTTGAGACACTCCCGCCACCCATCTTTCTGTTCCAGACGACCAATCTCCATCATTCGGTTCATTGTGACATCGCAGGTGATCTTGACGTGGCCGTTCTCGCACTCGGTCTCCCAGGTTCCCATGACGAAATTTTTGATAAGTCCCACGGCCTCTTGGACGGACTCGCGTCTTGCCTGCTCAACTTCGACCACTGTCTTTACTATTTCATCGAGATCTTGTTCTTTGAGCTCTAGTTGTTTGAGCTCTAGGCGCTCCTGCCTGCGAATTTTGGCTTTGGGGTCACAGCTGCTGGACCGGGACCCCTTCCTGGATGTGTTTCCCGAAGAATCTTGCGTTACAGGAGAGGTATCTTGCGTTGTCTCCACGGAGGAGGTTATGTTCTTTACGCTGGGCTCCGTGATAGTGTCAGACGATTCGAGGGAAGACTCGCTGGTGATGGATCTGGTGGAACTGATGGAGGTGGAGTCGCTAGATTCGCTGCTGATGGAATCGTTGGATCTTCGGCTTTCTTGATATTGATGTTGGGTCTCGTTGATTGAGGCATCGAGCACTTCCCCAGTTGTTTGGATGTTATCAGGGGAAAAGCAGCCTCCGGCTACATCAAGAGGTTTGGCCGTCGTGATCGCCGAAACCGCTTGCTTCAGGAAGGGTGTCTGGAGAGTGGCCATTTTCGAGATGGGAACAAAAATTCTGGTAGAGATGCTTGGTGAGGAGGACTGCTGTTGAAAACACCGCTGTCTGATCAACTAATTGGGAATCCAGTGATTGAGGGAGATCTCGAGGCTTTAAGAAATTTCAGCTGTTCACGTCGTGACCGGCGATGTTGTCAATTTGGGGAAAGAGAAGAAAATTCAAAAACCTTGAGACTTTGCAGTCCGTAGATAGTAGGTTCAATGACGCAACGGGCGGGGTCTCGAACAAGTCGACTGTAGCGACAAGGCGTTCCGCATTCGTCAAGTGTAAACACAAACCACACATATCCGAACTGGTCTGCAGCTACCACTGGTAATTTCAACTGCTCGTTTTCAGGGTCTTCGGCCTCGAGAAAAATGACTGACGTTTCTGTCTGTGCGGATACCAAAAGTTCTAATACTCAAACGCTTGGGTTCCGAGGAAAATGTTTTGTAGTTTTCGAGTATCAACGCGAATACTGTTGCCTTACCAGCTCTGAACTTGTGAAAGGCCGTAAAATCAATAAAGCTACACGTGACGATTTAACATCTGATAATCTGGCGCCTTGAAATCATAACTCTGTCAATCGTATATTCGACCAATAGGCGTCGAATACCGAAGGCAATCCAGATGTTTAAGGTTGACGGGCCTCGACGGGCCTCATCAGGGTGCAGTTCGTACGGTTGGGCGTCCCGTCCCGTCCGTTCTTCCACCGGCACTGCGGATTCTGGGGTCGATGGGGTTGTGGCGCAGAGACCCAGGCTCTCGGCCGGTCAGCTTCCACAATCATCTCGGTGGGGGTCGGTCAACGCTCGGTCAAGGTTCGGTCAGCTGCGACTTCACCTCATCATCACCAGATCGCAATCTGTCACCGAGACAACACAGGGCACACCGTATCCGCAACAAACAACACTTTCATCTTGGGCGAAAGAAGTGGGTCTCCTGCAGCTCTCTCAAACAACATGGGCAGCCTTTGATGTGACCTCGCAAGTGTTCTTTGATCGCTTTGAAGTTTGAAGCGGAGCTGCCTGTGACTTCCGCCTGCCAGCTCTTTAGTTTCCATTGAGCTACCTTACAGTGCTGAGGTCCTGCAAATAGCGCAGATGGTATGCAAATGCAGCCCCAAGCTGCTCCAAAGCCTCCTGAAGAGGCTCTGGGGCTTGCAATGCCGAAGCCCAGAGGATGCTAGGTACTTACGGTTCGCATCCGCTACCCTGAACAATCCCATTGTTAAATTTTTCAAGTGAAAGAAAGAAGCAATACTGTCTCCTTTCTATTAAATGGGTGTTGAAAAACAACAATGGACCTCCTTGAAAGGCGTTGGTTCCTGATGCTGGCTACCTTTGGTTATGATACGTGCCATTGTTAGCCTTCGTCATCGCCCATATAACTACGTAGATTCCCAGGTAGAATTGGAAATGCAAATTGAAAGGGCTGTAATCGTCAATCGACACTTGAAATTCCTGCAGACTTGTACATCTGAAGATATCCGGCCCTGGAGTCCGGACTCAGCCTCACTTCTTCGAGACGGCGACGACTTCCCCTTTTCGACCCAAATCAGAACCCTTTCGCAGACAAGAGCATTTTTGAAACTTCAATACCACTGTATCTCTTGTAGAGCAAGCTGGGAAAACACTGGTAAATATTTCCCGTTGCACTCTTCCACCCGCTGCCTTCGCACCTTCCCCTAACGTGGCAGGCGCGCCCTCCGCATCCCAGGCACACGCGCCTTCCCACCCGACCTCGACCTGCCTTGACCTGCCTCGCCTCCCTCCCACCACCCACCTGCCCTTCCCATCCCGCCCAAAAAAAAAAAAAACAGTCTCAACTTCTTCCACTCTCCAGAAATCCCAACTCTTCACGGATTCTTCCCATTTTCACTTTCAACACTCCACACACGCATTTTACCACCCCAACATCAACCACCTCACTTTTATCAATTCCCCATCGCCTGAACACATTCAGATCACCCAGAGAAGCGTCCAAAATGGACGAGGGAAAGCTTCCCGACCCATGGCCTCTGGTCACCAAGGGCTTCCTCGCCCTCTCCGTGGTCATGTGGCTCGTCACAGCTATTCCGTACGCCTACGATTTCCTCTCACACCTCGTCGTCAAGTACTTCTGGGAGATTCTCATGGTCTTTCTGCTTTTGCACATCATCCCTTCCCTCGCCTTCTTCTTTGTTCAAGTTCTGAACCCTGTTCTCCGTCGCCTCACCCCGTCCCTGTCCTGTTCGCCCGAGACAGCCGCCAATATCCAACAGGCAGCGTACAACTACAGCATGCTCGCCATCATTCCTCTTTTCCAGCAACTTCTCGATGACTTGTTCAAGATACAGAAAGCTTTGGTTTCGGGTCTCGTCACTATCACGGATCACCACACAGTTTTGGGCAAACTTTGCGCCTTCTCCATCGTCATCCAGGACACCTTTCGCGCCCTTTGCGGCAAGAAGCCTGTCGATATTCTGGATGAAAGCGACCGCACTTATTACAAGAAGCGCATCGATGAGTTGACAGAAAATTACCGCGACACGAGGACCGAAAGGAACCAGTGGAAAAGCAGAAGCGAGAAGTGGAAATCCAACTGTAAGGCCTTGGAAGCAAAATTGGACCAACAGTGCGATCGCAATGGCGTGCTGGTGTCGCTTCAAACCAACGAGAGGAACGAGTGGGACACGCGTGAAGAAGCGCTGTTCGCAGAGATCGAGGAACTACAGGAGAAGGTCCATAACAAAGTTCAGTCTTGGAAGGTCCAGAAGACCATTCTGGATTTAGAGAGAAAGGTTGTCGAACAACAGAAACAACTCGAACAATGCAAGCCCGAGTCGAAGGCCATTCAGACGATCAAAGACCAGCTTCAGGACAAGGACAACCAGATCAAGGCTTTGGAGAAGCAAATTGAGGATAGACAAGACCTCCACGAGTGGAACACCAAGCTCATCGCCAATTACGAAGGTCAAGTGCGCGATTTGCAGAATAAGCTCAGAGACGAGGCCAGGAGGCTTGGTCTCAAGGCTAGCGAGCATTGGTCAGAAGCTGAAATGTGGAAGAAGAGTCACGACAAGCAAGCAAAGAAGGCCGAGTCCTTGAAGAAGGAGGTTGAGAAGCTTGAGGGAATGATCGGTAAGGACCAAAAAGCCGAAAACGACAACATGGCAGCAAGCAACAGACTGCTTAGAGAAACGAACAAAAACCTGCGGAATATCATCAAACCTCTGAACATCCCTGCGGAGCTTCTCGATGTTATCCACAAGCCCGAAACCCCGAACAAGGTCCAGGCCACACTGGCAAAGCGCACCGAGGACGAGTACACAAGGAGGATGAAGCTTGAGAAAGATCTTCTACAAGACCAACTTCGAGTTGACAGGGAGGAATTTGAAAAAGAGAAGAATGAGATGCGCGTGGAATACGACGATTGGCATAAAGACAAGGCGATCACCGAGAAGGATTTATTTGACAAGTTGCAGGCGGTCGATGAGCAAAAGAACACGCTTGCGGCTCGCGAGAACAACGCACAGCAAACAATTGCCGCCAAGGACGCAGAGATACACAGACTCAAGGAACAAGCCGCATATGATGATAGCAAGGTCGCAAAAATCCGAAACTCGTACGACAAGAAGAGTCAGGAGCTTGCAACGAAGAGCCAGGAGCTTGAGGAACTGAAGAAGGCCCGCACCAACGTCGGTACCGACATCAACCAGCAAGTCCAACGGTTGTCGGCGGCTTTGTCGCAGGAAAAGCAGAAGAACGCCAAGCTTGGCAACGACCTCACTCAAGACCGGGAAGCGATTGAGACTGAGAAGCGCCAGGTCCAACAAGATCGGGGAGCGATTGAGACTGAGAAGCGCCAGGTCCAGCAAGATCGGGGAGCTATTGAGAATGAGAAGCGCCAGGTCCAGCAAGATCGAGATAAGCTCGAGAAGGCCACCGCATCTGCGGAGCAAGACTTCAACAACAAGAAGCAAGAAATCGCCCAGCGTGAGCAGGAAGTTCTTCAAAAACAGGCAGAAGTGCAGGCTCAGGCGGACCAGCTGGGCAAATCGGCCACTCAGAACCAGTCCCTGGCAGATGTGGAGGGCCGCGAACAGCAGCTTGCGCAGTGGACTCAAAGATTGCACCAGCAGGAGGCCCAGAATACGGCCGATCACCAACAAATTACCCAACATCAGCAAGAGATTACCCAAAAGCAACACGAGATTGCCCAACAGCAACAGGCGATTGTCCAAGAGAGGCAGGCCATGGCAGAGCAAGTACAACAGCAAGTACAACAGCAAGTACAACAGCAAGTACAACAGCAGGTACAACAGCAGTTACAACAACAAGTGGAGCAACTGGTACAGCAGCAGATGCAGCAGCTCGAGGAAGAGCTTGAAGAGCGGCAACAAGCCGTCGCCATCGAGAGAGAGGAATTTGATAAGGAGCGAGAGAGATTGCGAAAGGGTTACCAAGCCGCCAATGACAAGCTCAACGAGGAGAAGAGACAATTGCAGAACGGCGGACACGACTCGTCGGAAATGAACAAGAAGATGGCCGAGATGATCAAGAGTCACACCACGCAGTACGAGGAGATGGAGCGTCTCTTGCATGCCAAGACCATGAAGGAGGCGAACTTCATGAAGGAGCGCAAGAAGCTAGAGGGGGACATGGCAAGAACCCAAAGGGATTGTGACAGACTCCGAGCTGAGAACCGGCACCTGAGAGGCAAGACAGCTGGCGACGCGGCCTCTAAGACAGGCTCAAACAGCAGCAATACCGCTCAGAACCCGTCGCAACCAGCTAACAACTGGGCTGTTCCCGTGACGATTGCTCTTCCAGGCCCTGCCACCCCCAACGCTTCGAGCAGCAACACGACTGCCCAGGACCACTCGGAGCCGGCCAAGAACTGGATCGTTCCCGCAAACAATGCCATTCAAGGACCAGTCGCTGCCACCCCTGGTGGTGAGGCCGCGACAGCTCAAGCATCATCTGCCAGAAAGTCATCTTTCGGTTCCCTGTTTGGATCATCTCCCGCCCAAGGACCTGCGCCCTCATCCGCGCCGGACACCACTGGGGATGTGTCCATGGAGAATGCTGAGCCGGAGAATGAAACAATGGCAGACCTCTTTGGCGAAGAATTCGAGAAGGAGGTGGACCGCGAGCTGGATGCAATGAAGGGAGAGGAGGAGCAAAAGAAGTGGAAGAAGATGATCGAGACGGAAACCCTGAGGAGAGAAGAGGCGTGCAAGAAGATGCTCCAAAGTTCCGCGTTCACCCTCAACGTCCCCATCAACACATCCGCTGGGCAAGCGACCGCAGAGACGCAGCCCACCTCGTTCTTCCAGAATCTTGCACCTCCTCCAGACCGAAAGATCGCGCAGCCTCGGGGCCAAACACCCGCAAAGCAACAGACCGAAGAGACGCAGCCCAACCCACTCTTCGCAGCTTTTCCGGAAAGAAAGATTGCGAAGCCTCGTCGCCGAATCACTCAGGAGCCTGCTCCGCCACCGCCAACGCCTCCTACTCCGAAATTCGGGAACAAGAAGGTCCGCCACCCTCGTCATGCGCAAAAGGCTCCCAAGAAGCTCCCCAACGGCGAAGCCCCGAAGGGCCCCAGCTAGGAACCGGGGTCCCCGTCCACCAAGACGGATCAGCCTATGGAAGGGGTGGAGGAGCCCAGCGAGCCACAGACTACTACCGCCGAGTCCGCGCGCCCCAAGACTGCTCGCAAGCAGCCGGTCACCAGCAACCCGGATCGACCCAAGACCGCGCGGAAGGCGCCAGTCAAGAGACCAACGCAGTGGAATCTCGACGTCGAAATCGAAGACGGTGAACCGCCCCTCCTCATGGTCTACCATGCCGACGAGACCCCCGAAGAATGCGCGAGGAAGTTCCTGGACGACAACGAGCTGCCCCTCGCGTTTCTCGAACAGCTAATGAACTTCATTAAGAAAAATGTCAACCACGAAGAACCCGAGCCCGAGCCCGTCCCGAAGGACAGGAAGATTAAAACCCCCCGCCGCCGCGTGGCAGACCGCAATTTCATGGACAAAGAGTCCCTTACCCCCGACCGCGAACCGTGGGTTCGATCAGATCCCGTCGCGCAGGCTTCAAACCAAGCGCCTGCGACTCCCCGCCACCCCCCGCCCAAGAGAGCTGTACCGCAAGAGGACGCCGGGGCATACCTTCACCGACTGCGAGAGCTTGCGGCCGGAGGAGCATACACCGTCCGTCCAACCTTCCAATCACGGTCCCCGAAGCCCTTCACCGACCCGTTCCCCAAGGAGGGCGACCCGGAGTTCGGAAAGCACCCCGACGCGGATTACCTGCCCCCGGGCAGCAACGACACGGAAGACGAAGACTCCGATCAGGAGATGCAAGAGGAAGACTCGCACGAAGAGTCAGAGTTCAACATGAACTGGTACAGCAATATCAATGGCCCGAATGCCGATGATGAAGGCGATAGCCAAGAGGCTCACAGCCCGGATGCCCACGGACCAGATCTCTTTGGCCCCAACGGAATAGATTTCGACGTGGCAAAGGACTTCGAAATTGACGATAATGGCATGTTCGACCTCAAATACAAATAGGGTACACGAGAGAGGGGATGATGTTGGATTACGACACTGAGATTGGTTTGCGACGTTTGTTTGGTTTTGATGGCTTTTTCTTGCTTTTCGCCGATGGTAGGCACAGGTTTTGTTTGCAATGTTCGCGCCCGAGGAAAGGGCTTGGTCTAGGTCAGAGATGGTCAACTAAAATTGGCGTGGAAGGTTAGGAAGGATATGGACCCAGACCGAATGAATACAATGATGCTTCGATAAAATCGTGCCCGTGATCGCGAGTGGTGACATGATGTGTGAAGCTGCCGGTGCTGACGTCAAAAATGTGCATCAAATGCTCCAAAGTTCCATTCACATCCATTAAGGTAACTAAAAGTCCTCGATATCAAGCCCATCAACCCTGCCCAGGAAATCCCCGCCTCCACCCCTCAACAACTCATCCACATCCACGCCGCCCGCCGTCAGATACTTTTCGCTCACGCCCGCATTCACCCTCTTGGCCAACAGCTCCCTCAGCTGCGCCCTCATCGCCCCCATCTCCGCCTTGGTCAGCCCCTGGTTCTCCTTCAGCTTCTTCTTCCGCTGGCTGCCGCGGCCGCCCCAGGAGCCCGCCTTCTCGAGCTCCTCCGAGTCGTACTCGACGCCCAGCTCCTCCGCGGCCGCACGCGCCCAGTCGTCTTCCTTGTTGCCCTTCTCCTTGGCCAGCGTCGCGTCCGCCAGCTTCTTGGCCAGGTCCACGCGCGGCTTGAGCTTCGAAGCGACGCGCCGGTCGATGTCGATCGTGCGCATGAGGTACTTCTTCTTGCTCGCCTGCTCGGCGTGCACCTTGGCGGCTAGGCGGCGCGTCGGCACGACTTCCTCCGGCCCGCAGAGGATGATGCTCAGACCTGTTCGCTCTGCGCGTGCGGTACGTCCGGAGCGGTGGACGTACATGTCTGCTGCGCGGGGGACGTGGTAGTGCACGACCTGGTCGATGCCCGGGATGTCGAGACCGCGCGCGGCGACGTCGGTGGCGATGAGGACTGATGTCGTGCCCTCCTTCGTGGCTGTGAAGCGTTCGACGGAGCGGAGACGTGCCTTTTGCGGCATTTGCGAGTGTAGAGCTAGCGCGTTGAGGTTGAGGTTCTGGAGGAAGGGCGTAAGGCGGCGGACGGCGGAGATGGAGTTTGTGAAGACGAGGGTGCGTCGGTTCGGGTTGAGGAGGAGGACGGTGTAGAGGTAGAGATCCTTCTCCATGGCGCCGCACTCGATGAGGCCTTCCTTCAGGCCGGCGGCCATTTGCGCGACGGGGTTGACATCGATGAGCTTGGGCTTTTCTTCGCGGAAGTTGAGGCGCTTGAGGAGGTACTCCATCGATTCCTCTTCTGACATGAGACCCCATTTGCCCTTGCCTGCGAGCTTTTGTTGCAGGCCCTTGTGGAAGGTGGCAGAGAAGACGAGGGTCTGGCGCGGGGTGAGGTTTTGTTTGTCTTCGTCTTCGTCGAGGGCCTCGCGGTCGAGGGCGTCGAGGATCTCGCCTGCCTCCTTGAAGTGGCCGTCGCTGAGCAGCCTGTCGGCCTCGTCGACTACGAGGTAGCGGATCTTCTTGAAGCCGGACAACAGTTCAGTGCTGGAGCTGATGACCTCCCAGAGACGGCCGGGTGTACCAATGACGATGTCGGCCTTGGCGAGCTGGCGCTGCTGCTTAAAGACGGAGAGACCACCAGTGACGGAGCAGACGAAGGGGGCGTTGGTGAGGCCTGCGCAGAGGTTCTTGATGTGGTTTGTGATTTGGTGCGCGAGTTCTCTCGTCGGCGAGAGAATCAGGGCGGTAGGGGCGTGCTCGGTGTCCTTCTCGCCGTCCTTGGCGTCAAACCTCTCGATCCAGTCCTCGACGATGGGAATCGAGAACGCGAGCGTCTTACCGGAACCAGTGGACGCCTTTCCGATGACGTCGTGGCCGGCGAGGATCTCAGGTATGGAGGACTTTTGGATGTTTGACGGCTTTGTGAACTTGAGCTTCGCGATGGCGGATACGATGGCTGGGGAGAGGCCCAGGTCGATCCATTGGCTCATGTCGAGGTCTTCTTCGGCTTCCTCTGCGGCCTCGAGGGCGGTGAAGACGTTGCTCTCAAGCTTGGCGTCCTCAGGCTTCGGCTGTGTCTTCTTCTGCTTCTGCTTCTTCTCCTTCTTCTTTGTACCCTCGGGGGCATCGGCTTTCGGTTCGGCGGCGGGCTCGTCTGTTGAGTCGGTAGGCTTCTTGTTATCCTTTGCTTTTTGCTCCTTCTTGGCCTTCTCTTTCTTGGATTTCTTTGTCTCCTTTTGTACTTCCTCCTTCTCGGTGGTCGGCGCAGTAACAGGCTCAGAGTCGCTGAAGCCTTCGAACTCGTCTTGGTCCATCTCGTCGGCGGTGGGAAGAGCAGTAACCTTTGGGGTGGTCAGCCGTGATTGGGATTGCTTCCAAGGGGGACGAATACTTACAAACTCGACTTGGTCGCCCTTCTTGACGATATCGACGCCCTCAATCACCTCCAAGCCGTAGAAACCCTCCGCATCGTCGAACATCTCGGGCACGTCGACCTTCTTCCATGGCAGCTTGCTGACGGCGACACTGCGCTTCTTGGGAGCGGTCTTGACGATGCCGGACTTTTGGCGCTTCTGGGGTGCCTGGCTTGCATTGGAAGGCTGCTGCTTTCTCTTCTGCTTCTTGAGTTGGTCCATGGCGGCAGCGGTTGTTGTGGTGGTTGTCCTCGTCGATGAATGTTCGGACTGGAAATGCCCCGCGGAAATTCTGCAGCAAATTTCCAGAAGCATTCGCGCCCAGCGACCGCTACCAAAGCTCAGTGCTTCTGCCAGAAAATTTTAGCGGACCCGGAACATACTTCGCCCGAGCAGGTCGCCTGTGTGGAGCTGCATGACGCACCGACCACAGCTTAATTCAGCCCTACGGCCGCCGTCACCGCTGCAGCAAATTTTTTGCCGCTGGAACTGGACCCCTCCAAAAATCTACCCCTCCATCTCGCTGTGTCTGCCGATTGAAGCATCCCCCACCAAATCGTACATCAGCCACGTCAACACCAACACCTCGTCATCATGGGCAAATCTTCCAAGGATAAGCGCGATGCTTACTACCGTCTCGCCAAGGAGCAAGGCTGGCGTGCACGCAGTGCATTCAAGCTGCTGCAGCTGGACGAAGGTGACTCACTCTGCCCCGCCATGCATGAAGTTCGCGTGCTGATGCGTTCGTAGAGTTTGACCTGTTCGCCAACGTGACGAGAGTCGTTGACCTGTGTGCCGCCCCTGGAAGTTGGTCTCAAGTTCTGTCTCGTGTCCTCATCAAGGGCGAGAAGTTTGGTCGTTCAGCTTGGCAGGATCGCGAAGCCAAGTTCCGCCAGGAGATGCTCGGCGTCTTCCCCTCTACCTCTGACTCTGAGGCTCCTGAGAAGGCTGAGGCAGATGCTCAAGAGCCTCAGCCCAGGAAAGACGTCAAGATTGTGTCCATCGATCTCCAGCCCATCAGCCCTCTGCCCGGCATCATCACCCTGCGCGCAGACATTACCCATCCTGCCACCGTTCCCCTGCTCCTCAAGGCTCTTGACTCCGACTACGATGCCACCACCAAGACCAAGCAGGCCTCCAGCCCCGTCGACCTCGTCATCAGCGACGGTGCCCCCGACGTCACTGGTCTCCACGATCTCGACATCTACGTCCAATCTCAGCTCCTCTTCGCCGCGCTCAACCTCGCCCTCTGCGTGCTGAAGCCCGGCGGCAAGTTCGTCGCCAAGATCTTCCGCGGCCGCAACGTCGACCTTCTCTACGCGCAGCTCAAGGTCTTCTTCGAGACAGTCATCGTGGCGAAGCCCAGGTCCTCTCGCGCGAGCAGTGTCGAGGCCTTCATCGTGTGCATCAACTTCCAGCCCCCTGCCGGCTTCCAAGCTAGCCTGGAGAACCCGCTCGGCGTGGGACACGAGTTGCCCAAGATGGTTGAGGAGAGAACAGCCCAACTTCCTGTTGTCGCTGATGCGCTTATGCAGAACCCTCTCACTGGCAACTGGGACACTCCCCTCACCGCTTCCGCGACCAAGGGTGAAGACGAGATTATCGAGGTCGAAGCCTACGATGAGACGGACGAGACCACCGACCACGAGAAGCACATCAGATGGATTGCACCCTTCATCGCATGCGGCGACCTTTCAGCATTCGACTCAGATGCTTCCTATCAACTGCCCGAAGACCACGTCTCTCTCGACCCCGTCCAGCCTCCTACCGCGCCCCCTTACAAGCGTGCCATCGAACTGAGGAAGGCCGCCGGCGGAGCCTACGGCAAGACCTCCGTCAAGGTATAAGCCATAAAACCGCGACAAGACCACTCCAATGGTCTCAATAGTCGTCCTCATCCGACGGCCCGTCCGGCATCGCGGGCCCGCGCTTCTCCAGCAGATACAGCTTTCCGTCATGCGACGCCCCCCATTCCGTCGTCCCCAGCGTTTTCTCATACAACTTGCTCGCCTGCGGCGACGATGTCAGGAGGAGGAACCGTCGCAGGTCAGGCCACTCGTTCAGGACCTCGTTCAAGCACTCCATCAACCACGGCGCAAGACCCTTCCCCTGGTGCGCCTGCAGCACGTACACGTCGGATAGATACGCCAAGCTCACGTAATCCGTGACGACCCTCGCGAGACCGACCAGCTCTGGCCCCTTCTTCCCTGCGCGGTGTGAGCATTCATTCATACAACGATGAGGCGTACGGACCTGCAATCTCGGAAGTGGACTGGGGAAGCTTGTACACGCCCAGACACAGCGAATTATCAATCATCCGCCGCAACACGCCCTCATCCACGCGCTTCGCCCACCACAGCAACTCCGAGTCGAAGGCGTCATTGATGGCATCCAGCTGGAGGAGCGAGCGATCGGTGGAGATGAGGTAGTCGTCCTTGTACCACTGCTTCGTGGGCATCTGGTTCGGCATCGTGTCTGGTACTGTGAGATTTCTCCTTTGCTGCCCAGGGCGGTGTTCAGTGGCGGCGCAAGGGAGGACGGAGATGTAGTTGAAAAATACCTGAAACCTTGTCGGCGCAGCGCCCGGTCCGTAGACGTACGCAAAACTCTAGACGAGGCTTAAATAAACGCCAGAAAGACAACGGGAGGATCGAGCGTTGTGTCCGAAAACGTCATTTCTCGCCGCCCGGGTTGGGGTCTGTGAGGTTCCCATCCTGCCGGGGTGAACTCTATGTTTGTGTCTCCTCTTTTGCCGGGCATGCTTGCTATACCGCTCTTGGTAAGGTTGGTCCGGATGGGGAGATTCGGTCCCGTGCCGATCGTCGCCACGCGGGGGAATGTGGGGTTGAGCTCCGGGCGCTGAACGTGGTCTTGTCTTGGAGGATTCTCACGATAATTATCCGAGCATGAAGATTCGACCATATGTATTGGAAGGAGACCGCATCTTTCGTGTACATCTTTCCAGCTCATGCGCTGGAGTCAATAAGGCTACCCATACCCAGCAGGCAGCCAACTTGATAGATGGTTGCTGCCTTAGGCCCCACCACAGAAGGCGAAGCTGCGGTACCCTCATGGGCAACGTCCGTTTCTGGATCTGTCACCAACAAGCATCCGGCCAGATGGTCGAGGGGTGGTTGTGCGATGACTAGCTGGCGTTGACGTTCCGCCGTGAGTCAGAGTACGCACCGTTCGATCCTCGATAGCGCCACTGTTGGACCATTCTTTTTTTTGTTTTTGGTCTCAAAAGTCTGACGGTTTTGTTTTTCTTCCGTCCACTTTGTCGTTTTAACAAACAACAACAACAGCAGAGAGAATGATGATGATGGAGACGACGGATGAAGAAAGCAGATCCCGCAAAATCCAACGAAGAAGAGTACTGAAACTACAGACTGACTTGATTGCGCAACATGCAACTTTCCTCCTCGTTCTCCGCGTTGTCGTGTTGAGTAGAGTGAGCTGCCCGGCTGCCTGTCCTCTGTCGAGTTTGACTGACACGCACGACAAGACGCTTTATCTTCAAAACAAGGAAGGAGCGGGAACAAGGCTCCCTCCTTCAAATTTTCCTTCCGCCTTCTAGCCTGAATCTCTTCCAGGTTGAGCTTCTCACCCACAAACAAGTAAAAAGACTCTGGCATCAACCAGAAGCAGCCTGTCTTTGCTCACTAGCCTTGCTTTCAGCTTGCTTCAATCGAAAGAAATGTGAGTTTGTTCCCACCCAATTTTCACCCCATACTTGCTGACATTGCCGGAACCAGAGCCTCGACCTCCATTCTTCGATGGAGCAAGTCCATCGAATCCTTGCCGAGCTCTCCGGCGAAAGCCGCGATATAGCCTTGCGCCGTGCTCTCGAGGAAACCGCCCGCGACCACGTCATCGGCCTTCTTATGCATGAAGATTACGACCGCGTTACCCAGTGGTACACCCACGACGTTACAATGGTGCTGGGACTGGATACCACACTCGACGGGGAGATTCTCAAGGGCCACGATGAGGTCATTCAGCACTTTACCAACCTCCAGGAGCAGACTGACATCGTCGTTGTCCCCGTCCTTGTTATCGCCGATCGCGGCCGAATAACCGCGTATACCGAGACGTATTACAGGTGGCTGGGCAAGGACGACAAGGAAGACGGCGAAATGTTCGTCGAGGAGCCTGTCGAAGCGCCCTTTGTGGGCTGGCCGGCGGTTGTTTTCGGCGATGTTCTCAAGGTACGCGAGGTGGTCGTGTTTGACCTCAATGAGCAGCACATGAAGGTCAAGCGCGTGGAATGGCGTCAGTTGGGAATGGAACACCTTGGAGACGCCAGCGTCGACGCTCTTGCATTGCAGAGTGAGAAGCTCAAGGTTCGTATTCAAGGGGATGTATGATGGACTGAGGCCGGACTGGAAGGAACCTGTCATGAATTGCATGGAATTGGGGTACACGCTTACTGCCTCAAAAAGAGCAGAAATGGCATACGGAGAGTGGATGGCTTATACGGAAATCCCCTGCAGACGTCTGCCCATTATACTTAACAACCTGCCCTCCGGGTGGATTTTTGAGTCGGAGAAATATCACAACCCTTGAGGACATCCTTGACGGCTTGACCCTGGAGCAGGTCCACCCTGAAAGCCTGTTCTCTCCCGTGAATCATCTCCGTTACAACTTAGGTCTCTTTAAACTCAGCTGCGAACCTCGGAACAGAGGCATTTGTCCATCGCCCAGATTCATGATACTGTAAACAACTCAACCACAGCTTCCTTGAGACACACCAATCAACCACAAACGTAAATCGCAGCTTCCTCCTGCCCCCAAGCGCATAATGAGCTCAAGAAACCAACACGCACGGTTCCAAGTCTTCGCGGACGAACTGACCGCCGACTCGCGCGACCGCCCCCTGCGATACGAGATCGAAAACAAAATCAGTGTCTTCTTCGACGACATCAACGAGAAACGCTGGACGAGCGTCAAGAGCTACTTCAACGATGACGCCCGAGTCATATTTGGCTTCAGAAGTCCGAACCAAATCATCGACAAAGATGTTGATCTGGTGATCGAGCGGATCAGAGAGAAGACCGACGGCATGCGGCGCGTCACGGTGCCTACCTTGGTGCTCGTGGACCGAGGGCGGGTGACTTGCTTCCTGACCAACTTGTGGATCGAGATCGACGACAGAGATGACGACGCGACGCTGGATCTCGTCGAGGCAGACACGCTGTTTGGAGAAATGCACGAGGTGGCTATTATCGACCTGGACGACGAGTACAAATTCAAGCGCGTGGAGTTTCGGACTACGACTCGGCAGGAGATCAGACAAAGGGGGACCGTGGAGGATTTTGATTACTTGGTGCGGAAAACGAGAAGGAGCGAGTATTATGTGATCGAGTCCGACGAATAATGTTAATACTCCATTGAAAATTCTTCTGTTCGCATATAGGTGAAAAAATCCAAAAAGCTCGCTCGCACGCTGTTCGTGTTCAACTTACCTGCCGTCTCCACAGCAGCATCTCACCTTTTCCCTCGCCCTCACTAGATGCCGCTCCTGCCTTTTCTTTCAACCCCGTCCTTCTGACTGCTACCAAAGTACTTTTTCTTTCTCTGTCATCGTCGCCTCCGTCATCGCAACCCATCATGTCGATCGCGAACGAGTACGACCGAACCATGTTCGAGCAATACGCCGCAGAACTGGCTGGCTCGTCTCACGATCGTGCTATGCGCCCAGCTATCGAGCAAATGGTGCGCCAATTCTTCCGCGCGTGCGACAACTTGAACAGAGACATGATGATGAGCTTCTTTAACGACAACCCGACCGTCATCACTGCCCTCGACGGACCTGGCTACATATGGGCTGGAGCAGCTGAGGTGAAGAGATGGATTGAGAGTTGGGGCAAGGACATGGAGCGAGTTGTCCCTAAGATTATTATTGTGGACAGAGGCAGCGTTGTTTGCCATACCGTCACTTTCACCTTTAATCTCGAGGATTCTGAGGCTTTTATTGAGAGCCACGGCGTTGTCATCATGGATCTCGACAAGGACAATTGCATTGAGCGCCTTGAGTACCGTGAGACCAACCGCGAGGATAAGACTCACGAGGGAGGAAGAGAGCTGTTCGATTCTCTTGTTGAAGAGGCCGAAAACGACGCCATCTCCGTCGATTACCTGTCTTGATTGGGAGGTATGGAGAACAAGACCAAGGTAAGTTTCGCCGTGGACTTATATTGTTGCTTGCCGGGAGAGCATTTCTAACATGTTGCCAGATTTGAGGAAAAGTCTGTTGCTGTCTCTTTCGCCTTTCGTTCTCGACGCTTCGCGTTATCGTCGCTTTTCCTTCTCACCGCCTTTAATTCTCGCCGCTTTCCGTGCTCGTCACCGTCGCTGTTGACTGCGTCTTCGCAACCACCGTCACTGCTCCTGAAGATTGCCGACTACGCGGAAAATAATGCTGGACAGACACAAATAATACTCGGAGGGCATCATCAGTGGGGATACTAGGCAGTCATGGAGCCAGATAGCTATCATGAATTCAGAGACACCTTTTCTATGAGCAAGTGCGCGTAAATAGCCTCAATTATTTGTCTACTAAAACTCCTCAGTCCCAGGACCAGGTGTTGTATACGTGAGGTCTTACCCACAGAAAATTGAAGAGCTTTGCCGCCTGAGACAGAATTTCAGACATGCCTTCCAGATGCGCAGTTGGATCAATTCCACGTGAGATGCTTCGACCTCTCTGGCCATATTTGGCATCTATCTGCTATGATTGGTACAATGGCGTCGCCCGACAAAGTTCTCAAGCCCCCAAAGCGGTGGATTCGCGCCACCCTCTCCCCGCGCCTTTTTCCCCAAAAGTTCTATCGCAAACCACCACCTAGTCTCCATCCCCAAAACAACAAGACGAACTCGGTAATGGTGAAAGGAATCGAAAAAGACGGAATTACGCTCTCAAGACTCGAAAGACCCATAAAGCGCCGTAAATATTCGGATACGGACTCAACCACTTCCTCAGGTAAGACATCCTCCCCTCTGAAAATTCCACGACTGAAATCCTAACTCGTCATAGAAACCATGAACACACCCGGAACTCCCTCGAGCGAAAGCCTGGGAACCACGGCAAGCTACATCCCCGTCTTTGCATCCCGCGAGCGGGATGCAAACAATAGCAGTCCCGAGCCTCCCGAGCCCGCGTCCCGCGAGGACTTCGATCGCCTCGAGAAGGAAGTCTCCAGCCGCTCCTACGATATCGCCATGGAAAAGATCCACGAGACCGCTATGCGAGAGTTCATCAGCGCCATCAGCTGGAGTCGGTGGTCTGCTGTGAAGGCCTGGCTCGCGGATGATGTCGAGTTCGTCAAGGTCCCGCTTCGTTTGGGCGGCATATGTCACGGCGCCAAAGAAGTCGTTACCCATTTCACCGAGATGCAAGCCAGCGGACCCGTTTATTTTGAGGTCGACTACATGATTGTAGACCAAGGATACATCACGTCCATCGTTGAGATGAGCCAGGACATCCCTGCCGAAAATGCCCGTACCGAGCAAATTATTGCCTGGATTATCAGCCTCGACGATGACAACAAGATAATCCGTATGGAACACAGAGATATCGGAGCGAAGAAGTACCGCCCCTTGAACCCACCTCATAGGTTTTCCGAGGGCGACTACTCAGAATTCCAGATTTAAGTCTGGTCTTCTGGTGGAGGACGAGCAAGCTGCAAGGAACGACCTCCTTGTCCATGATAGTCCATTATGGATGACTCAGTTGCTACGTTGTTCACAACGGGGGCCCTTCAAGATTGATAAGACCTAATCTTGAAAGAGACATTTTCAGCAATTCCGAAAAGATTCTCACAGTTAAGATAACGTATGGAAAAGCAAATGTTTTGTGAACTTGGAGTTACCCTGCAAAGAGTGCGCTAGGGAGTGCTAGGCAATTAGAAGCAGCAGTAGTAATCCTGAATTTTTTCATGGGAAGGTGATTTTGTAATCTCCTTTTGTTTTTAAAACACAGTGAGTGTTCTTGATGGATGATTTCTGTGTACATGGACGGTTGTCTTGCTCAAGTCCCAAGCTTCCTGCCTGACGAAAGTGCTATTTCTCACCCCGTCATGATGTCAAATTCTCCCGCCCATGTCCTTGCAAAATGTACCTATCCTCCGCTTCGATTGCTCCTGAACGCATGGTCCTGCCACATTCGTTGCGCGCTCAGAAGGATTGGTAGATGCGCCTGCTCTTCGAGTCCTCCAACATCTTGTCAAGCTCGTCCATGTGGAACTTTGTCTCTCGAATGATGCGTTGCTCAACGCGCCGGAATCTGCAGCTGCTGTCGAGATCGAGAATGAAGACATAAGTCGTTTTTGTGAATCCAAGGCCGTCTTTGGAGCGCAGGAAAACTTCGACGTGACAGGTGATGCGGCCGCGGTCGATGAGGATGATGATGGGCACGGCCGTTCGATGCAGACGATCCAATTTCTGAAAGGCCACCGTAATGCCCTTGTGACCGGTGAGGCTGCCTTCGGGGCGCGTGAATCCCTCAGTATGGCGCAGCATGTCGATGTTCTCGATGTACCACTCTTTGAAGCCATTGGGGTGATAGTCGGCCCAGTCGGAGAGGTAGTTGAGCGTGTGCTTGTAAGCCTCCTGTCGGAACTTGGAATCTTGAGTTGCGATGGTGATGTGCGCGCTACCCCTGAGAGTGACCAAGTTTCTGACGGACTTCCGGATGTCGGTGGCCGATATCTGGTGCTGTTGCTGTGACATCTTGGGCGATGAGTTTGTTGGGAAGCTTTTCGTGCCAGACGAATGGATAGTGTGCTTTGCGAGATGTGTTCTGAATGAAAAAGTTGTTGTAAGTTGAGATGTTTGGTGAGAGATCTCGGAGGATTGAAGGGGACAACTTCAGACTTTATAGACGCCAGGCGAAGGCGATCCGACGGCGAGAATCTCACCCTGGAAGACAGTGAATGTGGGTAGATGGGATGAAGATTGACGTGCGGAGAGGAAGCCTATCGTAGGTCCAATGGGCAAACCATCACAGGCCAACGGGCGGATCTCCTCCCCGAGGCGCATCGCTTCCTGCTATTCACCCTGGCAGAGTTTTATTCACCTCGAAACCACCTTGACTTATGAGCCCCACAATTGCTCCTGCTCCTGCCTCTCCGGATCTGCTTGACTGACTGTGTCGCACCTTCTCCATGCTCCCAATTCCAAGGAAATTCACTGCAAGCTTTTGCCAACCACAACCACCACACCGCAGCCAAGCCAGTGACCGACGCCCAAATGGCTGCTCCGGACGACGAAAGGAGCTTTCGCCGCTTCCTAGAAGAAATGTCAGGCGACTCCCGAGATTATGGTATCCGGAAGACACTGGATCAGAGAGTTCGTGCCTACTTCCAGAGCCTTGACGCCGGACGCATCGACGAGATGGGACGTTGGTACGCCGACGATGTCGTCAAAATCCGGAGCATCCAGGTGCCCGGAGAGATATGGAAGGGCAAGGAGGAGGTTATCGCCAGTCACAACAGCATTATCAAAGAACAAAAGAGGATAGGATGGGCTATTTTCACTGTTCCCAACTGGGTTTTTGTTGACCGAGGACGGATCACATGCCGCATTGAGAGATTCTGTTCCAAACAGGGGCGCAAAGAGACCAGAAAGTGCACGTTTGTCGCAGTATTTGATTTGGACTCAACTGGACACGTGAAGAGGGTTGAGTACAGAATGATCAACGATTGTACCGAGGACAGGCCCATTGAAGAGCTTGTTCGCGAGGCGAAAGCGAAGCAGGAAGACTTGCAGACCTGTCTTGAGTCCTGAGTCGTCATCTACACATTCGGTATGCTCCAATTGTCTCCTCTGTTAGCACCATGGTCGACCCCAAGCCGCAACCCGTGCTGACTTCATGGGGCTAGTCTCGATCGAGGAAAGTCAACGACGGAAAAAGGTATTAAGGATATTGACGAGGACAAAAGATAAGAATGGGAGAGTCAAACGCCGGAAACGACAGGCGTTCCTTTGGTGGTTTCTGCAGGGAGGCAACAAACATCTGGCGGATGAAAAACAAGGGAGATCCGTTTGTGTGAGAGAGACATCATCGTGTTACGAAGTTCTGCAAACACCGAAGCATGAATCGGAAGCCTTTGAAATACAATCCCTACGCTCCTCGTTTATGTTCAGTGTTCTATTTGTGGTGCTTCGACTTGCACTCTCCCCTGCTAAGTACGCTGTAAACGATGGGGGCGAAGATGATAAGACTGAAGATATATAAAGCACCGGCGACCAACCGCCTTTCTCACTGGAATACAGATTCAGCATCGACAATCACAATCAGTCGGCCTTCGACATTTCTACTCTCCCCCAAAGATAAAGGCGTAGCCATCGACCTGTGGCCATGGATCTCTCGATTTTCCCGAAGAAATATTTCTCGAAATATTATTTCGACCAACCTCAAGATTTGGCACGCATCCTCGAAGAGCTTTCAACCGAGTCTCGCGACATCAGCATGCGTCCCTTTCTCGAGAGGATGGCGAAACATCTGCTGCACCTTCTAGAGTTGGATCCTACCTCATTCGACGACCGTCGCTCATTCTGGTTGGACCCCAACGCGACCATGATATTTGAAAGCGACCCTGGCCGTCCGATCGAGAACGGTTGGAATATGTTTGTTGGCAAAAAGGAAATCCAGGAGTTCTTCATTAAGCTTGATGAATCGATCAGACGTCGGTTCGAAACCACACAACTCGATTTCATTCTGGTCTTCGCAGACCGAGGTCGCATCACTTCTCTCTACAAGCGCCACAGGAAGAATAAACACGGATCGGACGAGGAGGTTGACCTTATCCTTGTGATTATGGATCTCAACGCGTCCAACAACATTGAGCGCCTGCAGTATCGTTATCTGGAGGAGAGCGACTATGCCGTTGAGGACAGGTGGGAAAGGTCATCGGAATTGATGAAGAAGCGTGGTCTGATTATTCCGAAGCGGGAAGAATGAATGTGACAAAGAACCTGGCAATTTCGGCAGGCAAGACTTGGAGATTGGTGGACAGCTCTTTTGTGGAAGCCGGTAGAGATCTAGGCACCTGATTTGAGAATTGAAAGAAGTTGGCGAGAGAGGTTGCAATGATATCTTTCCGCATGTGACAAGATGACTCGTATTAAAGCACAGATAATGGAAACAGCAAAGACTACGAGGACAACGAGGACGGAGGATATAAGAACGATAGAGAGGAAGAGAAAAGCAAAGAGAATGCGGGTCATGGATAATTCCAGCCAAAGGGTAAGATCTAGGTCTAGGCCAAGATGCACTTCGTATAGGAAGGCGCAGCAGGTCTGCGTTTAGCTCCTGCCTGCCTGCATTGTCCATCTTAGCTACCCAAGTAGGTATCCATGGATCCTTCCACCTTTTCTCTCACCTTCGATCCGACAACTCACACCTCCACTCAACATCACCAAAAACACTGTGAAGTAGCAGCAGAGCCTCACGCTCAACCAAAGGTGCAACTCATTCATCCGAGTCCACAGAAATTACGGCACCATACTGACTACCTCACTCATAGCTTTCACAATGGACATCCCCAACAACGTGATGTTCTCTCGCCGCCTCGCTGAGCTGACTGGCGAATCTCGCGATCGCAACCTGCGGCCATTCCTCGAGGAACAAACCAAACATCTCATTGATGATCTGTTTTGGGGTGAACGCGATCTCGCGTCTGAGTGGTTCGACGCCAGCATCAGCTTGGTGATCAACCTCGAACAAAACCCAGGCATGATTTTCCTTGGCAAAGACGAGGCGATGGAGTACTTCAAGAATCACGACGAAAAAAACGACATGGAGCAAAAGTGGTACCACTGGAACATCGTTCTCGTTACCGCTGACCGTGGTCGTGTCACTTCCTACGTCGAGAAACTCTCCGTAGAATTCAACGGGAACGTCGCGGTCGGCCCGATAAATAAAGAAGTCACACTCATAACAATGGACCTCAACGATTCCAACAAGATCCAACGCATGGAGTACCGCGTTCTTCGCAGGGACTTAATCGCGAACCATATGTCCTGGGAGGAAGCCCTCGCAAAACTGGTTACAAAGTCTGTCGTCATCGACTACAACATCGGCATGCAAGGCCAGTGAGAACCAGAGAGGGCAAGTACGACGAGGAAGGATGATAAGGAAGGGCGATGAGGAAGGACAAGAAAAGCAGTCGAGATTGGCAGGTGGATATCGCATGGAAGAGAGAAGGTATCACCAAACCACATTCAACGGGGTACTAAAGTAGTCACCTTGCTATGCCTATCACTTCCCAAATGCAAACTTGAAGATATTCCCCGGATCAACCTTCTCCTTCAACCTCTTGACAGTCTCCCAGTGATCCCCGTAAACCACCTCCATCGCAAACTGCCCCTTCGGCAGCAGCGAGTAGTACCCACCCTCAATCACCCCATCCAACTTGACCAGCGCATCCCTGTACCCATCCGCCCACTCCTTGGCTTTGTAGCTCTTCTCCTTCGTGACCGTAAGCCCGACGATCTCCAGCAAGTTGTGCTCCTCACGCCACCTGAATACGCCAGGCAGATGGTCCTCTCGAGATGCTTTTCCGCGCAGCTGGTGCATACTCAGCAACGCGCCGTCGCCAGGAAGCTTCGTCGCAAACTCGGCATACAAGTCCGCCATGCCCTCCGAGAGGGCAAGCGTCTCCGTGCTCACGCCGTAGGAGCTGCCGGGAATCATCGTCGGAGACGTCAACGCTGTTACCTGCGCAGTCATCGCGGAAGGACTTGTCGGCGCGACCATCTTCATTGCCACGGGAGCAAGCTTGCAGATCTCTTCGAGCCAGGCGTCTGACTCATCCGACGCAGGACCGTTCCAGGTGAAAGCGCAGGCGAATGTCTTTCTAATTCCTGGAACCTCGACAACGGCGGGCTGAATGCAAAGTAGGTCTGGCAGGGTCCTTTCCTTGAGAAGCTTAGCCCAGTTCGTCCAGAACGTCTTGATGGTGCCTCCGAAGTCGGTTGAGTTGAACATGATCAAGCCGCCTTGGATCTGCAGAACTGTTAATACCATCTCAATCGCCGTTCTGAAAAGCTCTTACCTCGGTCTTTGGGTAGACCTTGATCTCAATCTGAACAATAACACCCAAAGCAGGCCCGGCACCTCGGATTCCAACCAACAGCTCCTCGTCGGCGTCGATCAGCTCTCCGCTCGCGAGCACAACCTTCGCCCCGAGAATCTGATCAACTCCCATACCCAAGCTCGCGGTGAAGAAAGAGTACCCTCCCAGCGTAGCCCACCCGACGTAGCCAACACTTCCCACCGTGCCGGTCGGCGTCATCAAATCTTCCTTCTCCAGCGCAGCCTGCAGATCACCATTCAAGACGCCACCTCCAAGTCGAGCGGACTTCTTGTCGGGAGAGACGTTGACATACTTAATGTCGCGCATGTCAATCTGCAGGATGCCGTCGACGGTTGAGCGGGCTGACATGTCATGCCCTCCCGAGCGGATGACGAAGGGCGTCGAGGTCTTGCTGCAGTGGGACACCAGAGCCGCGACATCTTCAGCGGATTGAGGGCGGGCTATCAGCCGCGGGATGGCGGGGGTAGAAACATAGGTCTGGCGGAGGGAGTGGAAAGTCTTATCGGAAGGGGAGTAGGTTTTGATCGAGGAGTGCTTCTCGAGGAAGTCTTCCAAGGTGGTGAGGGAGCCCATGATGTTCGAGAATTGTCGCGCTGTTTGTCGATTGTTTGTTAGCAAAGATTCCAGAAACGATGGCAAATTGGGTAACATGCAGACATTGTTGAAATAAATCTGACAGCCAGCTTTATGGCTTGAAAGCCTGCCGTCAGCTCCGAAGCCAACTCTTTGTCATCCAAAAACGCCCATCAGCGTGTCTTACCATGGCACATCCTCCCCGAGGATATTTGGCGCTGCTGATTGGCGCCCAAAGATCTTTCGTTTCTGCGGGGAGCTAGACACAGGGGGACTGAGACAATTGTTTCCCCCATCGGGAGAGAAGCGGTATCTTGCAGCCTGGACTTGTAAGCAACAGCGGATAAGGATGTGAGGTTGGATGCGGGGCCGGCAACGTCCGGAGACGGCGCCGGTACCCGGACTTGTGTTTCCCTTCTTCGGCAAGGATGGACATCCGGGGACAACGACACATGTGAGACGCGCAGGACAGTAAGTATGAATCATCAGTAATTCTCTGAGGATGGCTATCGTGCTAAGAGGAGCTCTGTAGGTCAAATAGTACAGCGAAACAAACAAATCCCAAGTTTGCAAACCTCCCTTGCGTCCATCGCTTATTGATCTTTCTTCAAGCAACTCCATCGTCCAGTTCCAGAAGGTTGGAGGTCAGCCGGCGGTCTTGATCAGCGGATCATGCGTTCGATCCAGCGGGTGACAGGAATCTCCATGGAAAGCTCATGCTCCTGGGGCATCGCGGCACAATAGTCGCGGAGCCCGAAGGTGAGCTCGCCAATGCGGCACATGTCGCGGCCGGAAGGGGACTGAACCCAGATCTCCATGTACCACTGCTCGTTCTTGAAGGTACGTTCCTCGGTGCAGGTGCAGCCCGTCAGGGAGTGCGGCATCTTGTCTTGGCGATCGAAGTCCTCGACGAAGTTCTCCCATCGGCCGTGAAGCTCTTCTCGGACACCGCTGAAGTTCTCAGGAAGACTCATCATGGTGCTGCCGAGAACGTCAGCTATGGCAGGTTGATCCTGAAGCGCGTCGGTTGTAAAGGTCTGGCGCGGCATGGGCGGGCAGCTGTGTAGGCCGTGCATCTCGCAGACCATATCGCCGAGCAGCCAGAACTTGTCTCTTGGGAGGAACATGGTGGCACTCAACGAGTGGACAGGCACGTTGCTGACGGTGTTGTAGTAGAAGTCACCGGCGTTGTCAAGATGCTCGAAGTACGACTTGTGCTCCGGGCCTCGGAAGTACTTGAGGTTGCCAATCTCGATGGGGGCGTCGACGGTGCACTGGTTGTAGTCCGCAGCAAGACGGGTGGTGTAGGCATCGGCAACCGTGTTCGGTTCGCACTGCTGAGGGTCAGCCTCTTGGGGAATGCCGGGGTGAAAGCCGCCCTTGATCATCTGGCTGGTGTTGCAGCCTTGGTATTCGAAGAAGCTATCGTCGAATTCATCGAATCTGGCGTTGATGGTTGGAGTGCCGAGCGTGCCGTCGTGGCCAAGGATCCAGCTGATGTCGGCCTGGGGCTGGACCATCTCGGGGTGCTCGTTCATGAAGGTCTTGGTGCTCTGGAAGAGGGATTCGGGCTCCGAGGTGTCTTCGAACATGACTTCGTTGACTCCGTAGGCGATGTCGCGATCTCTCATCAAGCGGAAGACGTCGACGTTGATGTCGCACATGAACTGGGTCTGGAAAGCAGACCTGTCAGCCCAACCAACACCGGGGAGGGGAAGGGGACTTGACTTACTCCAGGTTCAACCATCCAGAACCAGTCATAGGCATCAAGACGCTTCTCGCGAGCGAAGAGACCAGCCGACCAGCGTCGCTTGTGGTGGGTGGTCCAGACGTCAGCTTTATTGGCGCCCACTGCCTAAGCGTGCGCCAAGCCAGCTTCGAAGCGACCAGAGTCGACCCAGGCAGGGATGGACCAGTGCTGCTTGGGGATGACATTGTAGGTGACAGTACCGCCGGTCGCGTTGGATGTAGCCTCCTTGAACTTCTCGCTGAGCTCCTCGTGGCTGAAAAAGACCCAGTCGTAGCGGTACTTGCCGTTGAAACGGTGCTCTAGTTGTCCAACAGAGGCGACCATCTGCTCAAGTTGGTTCTCTGAGACAAGGGCGACAAAGGCGGCGCGTGGAGAAGCATCCCAAAGTTGAAGGCCTGCTGAAAGAGCGAAAGGGAGGTTCAAGAGGGTTATAGCAGCAAGGAGGAGGAAGGAGGTAGGGAGGGAAACGAATGATTTGGTCCGGAGCGCCATCTCGCCTGATTAAGGGGAGATCAGTCGAGAAGGCGCGCGTGGTGACTTGTGTGGAAGAAAGAAATCAGACGGATGCTTGTCGTTGATCTGAGACAGTTCTTTGGCGGATTTGGTCAAGGTGAAGGGTTGTTGTTGGGGTGAAGTTTTGATCTGAGGTGGTGTGGAGGAGAAGAGATGGTTGACTTGGGAAATCACGAACGAAGAACAACAAGCCGCCCTCAAACGACGCTAGTGTCTCGCTTAACTCTCGAACAGTGCAATGGAGGAAGCAACGACCTGTTCTCAGGTAGCTCACACGTGACTTGGTGATCCAGATCGTTGACCGAGATCCTTAGGCGCCTCAGGCGCCCAACCGCCTGGAACTTGGGTGAAAGCCTGGGAAAGAACGTGACCATAGTAACAATTACGTCATCTCTCACGGTTAAGCGAAGGTCAAGGACACTTCAGAAAAGCATCACTCAGACCTTTATTCGATGACGTCAGGGGTTCAAGCAGCTTCAGCCTTCAGGCCGCAGGACCTAAGCCAAAGTAAACAACCTTTTCCAAGACATGACCAGACCTTTTCCACAACGCTGGAAGCAATGAATCAAAGTTTGTGCTATGAGAAGATAGTATCATTCTACTTTGATACCTTCCTGCCTCTAGGAGTTTCTTGATGGTACCCATTTGCAGGAGAGCAGGCTTCTTTGATATATCCACATGTCTTGAAATACCTCAAATTTCCTCATAGAATATGTCATATGTCTTTGTGGCCAATGGAATGCCATTTCTGCATTTCATTGTTGTCATTCACAATAAAAGAAATTGAACAATGACCTCCAAAGCCAACCCTTTGGAACAAATATCCAAGAGCCTACCCAGTGGTTCAGCCCATGTAATGCCTGCCATTGCTATAACTCCATTTCCCAATCCTCCCCAGTACTCTGGATATGCTCACCCCAGGTCCGATGCTCCTCCGTTCCCAGTATCTTAAAGCCTGTCTTGGCATACATCCTCCTCGCTCCCACCATGTTGCTGTCCGTTCTCAGCCCGACACGTTCATATCCCACCTTTCTCGCAAAGTCTATGCAAAGCTTCATCAATTGCGTTCCCAGACCTAGCCCTCGAGCGCTCTTCTCGACGAGAAAACATCTCAACTTCGCTCGGCCCGGCGTGTCGCGATCTTTCATGAGTATGATGCAGCCGAGAAACTGGCCATCCCTTTCCGCAATCCAGCAACGCTCTGATGTAGGATCGAAAGTTGTGATGAACTCGGACGTGATTCTGCCGACCAAGGCCTCGAAAGATGACCCGTAATCGAACTCGTTGGCGTAGATTGCTCCATGGCGGTAGGTGATGAAGCCCATGTCACCTGGACGGTGATTTCGTATGGTGACCCCATTTTGGGCAGTGCCGTTGACTTGGTTTTCGGACTTCATCGCTGCTGACTGGTGATTAAGGCTCATTCTTGCAATGCTTGGGTTTGGTTTGTCAATTGAACTGGTTTACTTTGCAGGGTTGGCATGTCTTATGAGCAATTGAATGTCGTTGTCTCAACGATTGCGACCTTGAAAGGCTATCAGTGCGGGGCATGTCGTCCGCGTCTTTCAAGGGCGCAGACCGCCACTAAATCGGCAGCTAGGCATGCTGCATGTCAATCTAGGTTTCAGGGGAATTCTGCAGGAATTGATCCAGATGGCGCTAGAAACACAAAGATGACTGGCCCAAATACACCGCCTTCGTCACTAAAATCTGACATCCTATCACGTAGACGCGTAGACCGCGTGCTCGTACTGCGCGACTGCAGGTGGACTGGACTCGGAACAAGGTCGATCACACGGATTTCCTCAACAGTTCAAGGGCTTGAATTGTTGCTTCATTTCATTCATACTCCTCCGCCAGAATTCTTCTCGTCTTTTCGCGACTCAATCATGACGACGCAAAACACCGCTGCCGTCGATCCAAACACGAACAGGGCCGTGATTGTGTTGAACCAGCCCACGCCGATGCTGTTGATAGCTGGAAGACATACAGCCGTGCCAACGGCCGCGATTGCATAGCGGAAGAAGTAATTCCCAGCTTTTTCCCAAGTTAGTCACCTCAAAGTTCGACTGTGGGAAAGGGTACTCACCTATCACCTCTGCACTCCGTCCCTTGAACACGTCAAGACAATACGTGTTAATGCTGGGGAAGCAAATCGTCTGCGCGAAGCCTTGCACGAACATGCAAATCACCGGCAACGGGATACCGCCCTTCTCCTTCTCGATGGCCCATCCGTAAATCAGAATCGCGCACGGGATGACGATGCCCATGGCCACGAAGGAGCTGCGCAGACGATCTTCGGGAAGGCGGTGGCCTCGACGCTTGATCCAGAGCTTCACTGTATGGTCTGCGTAGCGGCCTCCGAAGTATGTGCCGGTGAAGAAGCCGATCCCTGGTGCAAGAAAGAAGAGACCGGACTGCAGAGGGGTCGTCAGATGGAAGCGCGGGTTGATGACGTATCGGATGGGTGTTAAGAGTGACTGCATATTCCACACCAGAGACGAGGCGGCGATTCCCTACGAGGTCGTGATTAGAGATTGACATCCAGCCAATGAACAATCATGGCATGGGAGACTTACTGCCACCAGGAGTTTCGGGATACGGAACAATGCAATAACGCGGAACGGGTTGGTCCAGTCCCAAACCTTCCCAACCTTAGTCTTGAAGTCGAGCCCTTCCAGCTCCTTCGATCTCATCTTGTGGCTTGTCTCTGGTAGCGCAAGTACGGCAAGAACGGTTGTAAGTCCTCCTAGCCCCGATTGAAACCAGAACAAGACTCGCCAGCTATAATATGTGACAATAACACCACCGATGAAGGGGCCGAAAGATTGGCCGATCAGGGTGCCGTTCAAAAACCATGCCAGAGCAGTCCCTCTCTCTGTGGGCTTATAAATGTCACTGATGCAACTTGAGCCCAGCACGAGGTAAGCTGTCCCCGTGAAGGCTGACAGCAACCGGAAAACGAAGAAGGCGGCCAGGTTAGGAGCCAACGCCGTTCCCACGGAGAACCCAAAGAATCCAGCCGCAGACAAAATGCATGGCTTGTCAAGTCAGCCAATGGTCCTCGATAACACTTTAGTGCCCTGATACCTACCCATTTTCGTCCATACACCTGGCTCACGGGCCCCCAAAACAGGGTGCTGATACCCATGAACACCGTGTAGATGGCATTGCTGACATTTATGATGCTTCCGCTAGTGTTGAACTCGCCCGCAATTTCGGGAATCGCTGCCAAGAGCAGCAGAGTGGACACCGTTGACGAGATCCCACCACAAGCCACCACAGCCGTGACAAGTCTCTTCCGGTTCGGCGAAAACTTGGCATAAATCGCTTCCGTGTCTTGGCGGCTCAATTGAGCATCGTCCTCATTCGGTGCAGGCAGAATCGTCGCGCTCTTCTCCGCGTTCGATGTCGTCAGTCGCAAGTCGTGGCGGTCAGGCTCCACATCCACTGACTCCGACTTTGAGTCGTCTTCATGTTGGTTTTGCGACATGTTCCGGGCTTGTCTTCGCGGGACAAGCAATTGGGGTTCTTTTCGTCATCCACGTAGGATTTGTGGAAAGATGGTACGATTTAGCTGTTTCGCGACGAAGTTGGCGGATGTCAAGATGCACGTTCAAGTTTTTCAAACACCAGCGCCGGTACTTCTCACCGGGCACAAAGATCGGGCAGAAAGATCTTCGGCAGCGTTATCCGGCAGTAGTTTGCCTAGGTTAAGCAGGTCAAACATCGGATATGCCCCATTCTCCCCATGCTTACCATTCCGACGTCGGTGACTGGATTCAAGATCGCCATTAAAGCCCCTGCAGTCTCGCCCAAAACTCACTGGAACAAGAAGCTCATTGTCCCCGGCTGGGCGTTCTTCCCCGCGTGTGGGGGTTCATCCCGGTCCCAGGGCAGTTCGTCGGACATCTTCCGAGAGACTGGCTAGGTATTTAGCGAGTCGCGTTCTTAGTGTTGTGGCAGGCTTGGTGGGTTCAGTCTCGCTCCGGCTCCGAGATCGGCCGGGGACAAGGGAAGCCGCTCGGTCGCCGAATTTCACCAGAGATGGGTCTTTCGGAATGGAAACTTTGGCCGGACTCGGCCCCGGGACGCCGGAGAGTCAAGATGGACCAGAATTCATTGCGATGGCTGGCAGAATGTGCTTGGGTGTCGCTGGCCGAAGGCTATTTGCGGCGTTCAGGCCGAGCAGGGACTGCCCATGGTGATCTCCGATGAGACACAACTTCAGAATCTGTAATCTGGGTCAGAACTTTGTTGAAGCCGCTGCTTGCAATACTATTAATACTCGAACATCTTCTTGGCCGGTAATACATACTTCTTTCGACGAAGGAGGTTAAAATGACGACTGGCTCTTGGTAGGTAGGTCCGGGTGTGAACCTATGACTCGGTGCAATTATGCCCCGCATACCGGATATGACGCCGGCTCATGTGGGGTGAAGACCGAGCAAGATGACTCTTCTGTGAGACCATCGCATCGGACGAACTATTATCCTATCTAATACTAACAGATGACATTGTGCAGCACCTGCCAAATGCATCTCTCCAAGCACTTACACAACTCGGCCAGCCATGGACAAGCGCGGTCCAGCCAATGACAACAACGCACGCGATGTCGGCGACTTCACCGCCGCGCTCGAGTTTGACTTGCTCAGAGCGCAGTTGACCAATTCCTCTCAAGTCAATTACCCGGAACCTATTCGGGACGACTCTTTTCTACATGACTTACAAAATCTGGATGCAGCTGAGTTGCTGCGCAATGCAGGACTTTCGTCACACCAGCAAGATGAATCTCTCTTCGATCCCGCCGTAACCGGAGGGTCCGGCCTCATCAACAACCAAACGGCTATGCCAAGCACAAGTACAACTTTCGACGATGCAGAAATGTTCATGTTTTCGGAGGCAATTGGTGACGCACAGTCTGCGAGGAACTTGCTCGACACGGGGACAGCAACGCTCGGTGTAGACGGGAACCTAGCTTCAGAGATGACCACGCCGCCCAAAATTGGGACTCGGTTCTCTTCAAAGTCTCTCCGAATTTTGAAAGCATGGCTCTCGAATAACAACCACCACCCATACCCTTCAACCGCCGATATGGAGATGCTAGAGCGGCAGACCGGTCTTAGCAGACAACAGATCACCAATTGGCTCGCCAACACTCGGCGACGCAACCGATTCAAGGTTCCTCCCAAACGGCCCCCATCCCCCGCCATCACTTCAGCCACCTCGAAACCCATCAACATTGGTGGAAGCAGTGTTCCCCAAGGCTTCGACGAGATGAACCCTCTTCAACGATGGCAAGTCTCCCCGCCTGAACACGAGCCCGCATTGGCATCTGCCATAGCGCACGCTGTGTACGACCTACCACCTGGATCCGACACTCCAGCAGATCGATCTTTGACCGACAGCGCCCCCACAAGATCTCTGTATAATGCTTCGTCGGCAAGCAGCGCAGGCACATCGCATTCGAGCAGGAGCTCAGTCAACTCTGCATACTCCCACAACTCTCGAGCATCACTGCGTTCAGATCCACTGGCTAAAGCTGCAATCAAGCGAAGGAGGCGACGAGGTGCTGCGGCGCGACCAGAACGAAAAGGTCCTAGCAATCTCTGGCAGACCATGAACATGTATCAATGCACGTTCTGTACCGAGACCTTCAAGACAAAGCACAATTGGCAACGTCACGAGAAGTCATTGCACTTGTCTCTGGAGCGGTGGGAATGTTCGCCAACAGGGCCAACCGTCGCTGATGCAAGTGGCCAGCTCGTTTGTGTCTTCTGTGGTGATGCCAACCCGGATAAAGAACACCTAGAGAAGCACAACTACTCAGTCTGCAAAGAGCGACTACCAGAAGACCGAACCTTCTACCGAAAGGATCATCTACAGCAGCATCTCAAGTTGGTGCATGATGCCAAGTTCCTGAGATGGCCCATGGGAGATTGGAAGCATGAGAATGAGATGATCAGATCTCGCTGCGGGTTCTGTGCTCTGGTGATGGGATCGTGGATTGACAGAATTGATCACATAGCCGAACACTTCAAGGATGGAAAGACGATGGAGGAGTGGCACGGAGATTGGGGCTTCGATGACCACATCCTCAAAATGGTTGAGAACTCAATGGCTCCTTGTCAGTGTCCCCCTTACAGCTTTTGAGTGCCATGGCTGACCTTCATTCTCCAGATATGATCCATATGGAGCGGTATTCACCATGGCCCTTCACTACCAAGCAAGGCGTTCCAGAGACGCCACCCAGCGCTTTTGAGTTGATCAAGACGGAAATCAACCACTTCGCAACAGACTACCAAAACACGAACGGCCGAATGCCTACAAACGCCGAGCTTCTGTACGAAAGTTGCTGCATTATTTTCGGTTCGGAGCCTACCTCTCTTGCGAAGAAGCCAGTAACGCCAGCAAGCTCTTGGCTGCGAGACTTGCTCATGTCGTCGGATATCATCGTCAAGCAAGCCAGAGTTCGACCGCTGAAGACAGCCAGGAGGTCTCGCATCACCTACCTTTGCATCAATGGAAAAGCCGACATCTTTGACCAATGTGCCTTGGAAGAACAACTCCAAAGCTACGTGGACATATCGAAGCTCATCGAGCCCGAAGTCTCTGACTCGGATCTCCAACGCGAGGCGTGCAGCATTGTCCAGCAGGTTGATGCTGCGTCAAGTTGCTGGACAATGCCATCGTCGCCCAAGCCATCCGAGACGTTTTCCACATTCTTATACGGCCTGATCAATGAGTCAACGCACTGGCTGGCACCTTTCCGTCAACGGATGCAGCTCCCTCCTTCAGAGTCTGCCGATTCCCCTACCTTGGACATCGGAAACCAGCATTTCCTGAGCGCTGCCCTTACAGAACCTACTGGCCAGTCCAGCGCCATGGACACAGGAAGCTCAAGCCCTGAAGCTGACGTCGTCGGCAGCAGCGCTACTGGCAATACTGCATCAGGTGCTGATGCCGAAATGCCGGGACTCAACACGCGCACCACGTTCTTCGTGAACGAAGAGAACTGCTATCGGCGTCTTGCTCTGAGTCTAGTCCGGTTCGTCAAGATCACGACGTCGCCGCGCAACCCGAACAGACATATTCCCTCAGACGCCGAACTTCAACATCAGGCGCGTTGGATCTCGTTTGAAGAGTAAGTGAAATCATACAATTCAAGGTGAATGGGCATATGCTAATGGACCCAGCGATGATCCTTGGAATCAGACTCCTGCCGATAACCCAGACTGGCTCCGCGAGTTCAAGCGTGAAATGGGTATTCTACAAGAAGATGGCAATCATCCAGCTGCATGACTTGATTAGTTCAGATTTTCAACTCAGATATTTTCATGAGTTTTAATGGGAAGGATGAGTTATGAGTCCATGAAGGAGCGGAAGTTGCCTCTGCTGCCGTTTGGCACGTTTCCACTCGGCGATCGCTGAATTGCGTTGCGAAAGTTGCGATATCGGAGAAGATTTAGTCAGCCAACATCCGTAAATATTAGAAAGGCATTAATACTATGATCCAGCCAATTCGCATCAATTTCTTTATCTGCGCGGCCTGTTGTGTGCGCCCTTCTTGTTAGACCCAATCGCGTCAGCCGTAAGGCGTAGGGAGAAATCGACATGATTATTATGGGTCCTGTGTTCGTGCGCCTTCGCCGTCATGCAACGATCCACCATGATAGCTCGCCCTAGGGCGTGAAACTAACAGCATATACACGCCGCTGCGCCCTGCAGACTTGCGGCGAATTATCACGGAAGAGACCAATATGGTGTACTTGTTCCGGATATCATACAAACCTTGATGAACCCTGTATCTCAATCAACACCCTGACCACGCGGATACTCTCGGCTTCCATCACAACTCAGTTATTTGAGAAGCGGCCATCTCAAAATTTTCATTCAACATAGACAACACTGTTTCGGTCTTCCTTCTTGCGAACTTACAGCATGCGAGTCGGTTTCCTTGGCCTCGGGGTCATGGGCACCCCTATGGCCCTGAACCTCACCCGCAAATTCGCCGTCACAGTCTGGAATCGAACGACTTCCAAGTATCCACCGCTCACACAAGCCGGTGCCAAGATTGGCGAGACACCAGCGAAAGTGGTTGAACAATCCGACGTCATCTTCACCATGCTCTTCGACGATGCAGCCTTGACATCAATATTCAACGATGACTTTCGAGGCGCACTTCGCGGGAAAACACTCATCAACACAGCCTCCATACCAGTCGATATCAGCAAACACGTTGCGGAGCAAGTTCAAAGGGCAGGCGGCAACTTCATTGAGATGCCGGTGAGCGGGAGCAAGATTCCGGCGGAGCAGGGCCGGCTTGTGGGGCTTTTAGCCGGGGATCCGAAAATCGCGGAGCAAATGCGGCCGTATGTGGAGCCCCTCACCGCCGCAGCGATCTACTGTGGCCCGATCGGCTTCGGCCTGAAGACCAAGTACGCCGTCAATCTGTATCTCAACAACATGACTGCGGCTCTCGCAGAGTCCTTCAGTCTGGCGAAGGCACAGGGGCTAAACTTGGAAGCATTTGGTCAAGTCATCGACGCCGGACCAATGGCTTCAGCATACACTAAGGTCAAGATCCCCAAGCTTGTGAACAACGACTGGACTCCGCAGGCGGCGGTGAAGGACTGCTATAACAGCACTCAGATGATTGTAAAAGCAGCGGAGGATGCGAATGTTAGAACGCCATACGCAGAGCTATGCCGGGAGGTGTACAAGGAGGCCACAGAGGCTGGTCTCAACGAGGAGGATATGATTGCGGTCTACAAGCTCTTTCAGAATCCTAGATAATACATCATTTGAGAAATTTCTAGCGGGGCAGAGGGGTTTTCTTTGATTCCAGTCTGGATCTTAGGGTGCAAGTGTTTCTTGTCCATATCTCGTGTGACGATGAGACACGGTGGGTGCATTTCGCAAGGGGTAGCAGACAAGACTGAGCAACCGGTGAGTCAGGAATTAAGAGGCTTTAGCTGGTCGAGAAAGTACTACTAGACTGTGGCTGACATTGAGACGATGGTCCCGCAGGAGCTGACCTGAGACAGCAATCACGAGAGGAAGCTAGGCGCTGAATCGCAGGCAGTCACCAATCGGAGGACAAATGATTGCGAATGCTCCAATCAACCGAAATGAGAACAATTGCATATGCATTGGTGTTCAGCTTTGCCAGCCGGCCTAGACCGCAGCCTGAAGTCCGCTCAGCAAAACCATCATTTCCGAGCGCATCGGCCCATCTTCACGCCAAGCAGTGCACCCCCTTCAATGCACCCTTCCGTTCAATCCTACCATCTCTCTCACTACCCCACAGATTAGGAATGGCGACAAAGCCAGGTGCAGCGCTTTTGAAAGCGTACAGGCAGACGCCCCTGTCAACCAAAACGTGTACTCACATCATTGAAGTCTTTCCAGCTACCCACAATACCGATATACTGAGGTGCCGACTACTCGAGGTTGAGCTCGAAGAAGCGAAGGGAACTTATGAGGCCGTTTCTTATGTCTGGGGATCACCCGAATTCTGCTGCCAAATCATCGTCATCGACGAAGATACCGCCGAGAGTGACAAGATGGAATACAGTCTCTCCGTCACTCAGAATCTGAGCGAAGTTCTCCGCCGGTTTCGACACACTGAGTACCCTCTGGCTGCTATGAATGATCACGATCATTCGAATTCTGCAATTACAGTTCCAAGGAGGTTGTGGGCCGATGGCGTTTGTATCGATCAATGTAGTGTCGAAGAAAAGAGCCATCATATCGCCATGATGACCGCTATATACACCGAGGCCAAGGGTGTACTCATTTGGCTGGGCCACGACAAGAAAGCAGAAGAAGCATTACGTTCTCTCCCCTCGGATGAAGACATACTCGGTGGAGAAAACCCTCCTTGCATTCAAAACGCTTTGCACCTCCTATGGTTCAGTCGCCGCTGGGTAATACAAGAGGCGGTAGTCAACCGGAATACAGTCGTCTACTGCGGAGCAGTCTCGAAACACCTCTATGATGTTGGTCAGAACGCACTGCAACTTATGCACTCCCAGTATGCAATAACACTTGGTCCAAAGCTTTTGAAACGAGCGGAGGGACTCGACGCCGTATTCAACCTATTCTTCTACAAGCATGTCGCCACATATTCATATTACGAGATGGAATTCACCAGTCTCATGCTTGCATTCGACGAATACGAGTGCCAGAACCCTCGAGACCGGATTTTCACATTGGCAACTCTAGCAAAAGACATGGCCGTGAGAAACGTAACCGTGGAGTGGGTTCATCAGGCTTTGGCTACCGAACAGTCGGGGGACCCCACGAAAGATCTTCGGACTTGGCGCTCCCACGAGACGTATGTTAACTATGAGGCGACAACAGCTGACATCTACATTCTCTTCGCCTACTCCTTAGCCATTAATGGCAAACTAGGATGGATGCTTGGCCAAGCCTCTGCTAGACTGTCAGCTTCCACCGAAGGATCTATGTCCCATCCAGATTTAGATTTGCTGCCTCGATGGGTGCCGAACTGGACTGTCAAGTACCACCGCCACGCACTCTGGCTTGAAGGCAACGATGTCCGCTGGGGACCCTGGGTCAACCTCGGTAGCGCAATTGGACCACCTTTGGTTCATTGCGCCCTTGCGAGATTTCCTATCTCACCAGGGTCATTCGCCTATCGAATTCGTACCCGATTAGGTCGGATATTTTTGAGTCAAACCACCGGCACTGCGGCGGAAGATTCATGTGAATACGCAGAAGAAGACCGAACGTGTCCCTTTGTGGTCACTTGGAAAAGCGAAGCTTTCCCTTCCAATCAGTCAACACCAGAGGACGTGGTTCAGTGGATAAGACGGACTTTTCAGTCCATCTGGGAGGTAGGACTCTCCGGCATGGATACCAAGCTCCGTGGAGATGATGTCAAAGAACGACTTGCCGATCGGTTCTGTTACGTCCTCGTGGCTGGTGCATATATGTACAGCGACAAGCGTCTTTCCAGCAAACTCAAGAGCGCCGCAGCAGAGCTAGCAGAATTGGCACAGACGATACAGACCATGACAAATTTCTCTCCTGAGCAAAGTCCCCGAAGAATGCTCGACATTCTCGTTCATCCAAGTCAGTTTTGGGATGATGCCGAAAAGATGAATGATGAACTGCTTGCACCAATCATCGTCAAACTTCTCAAGGAGGTCATTTTCAACGATCCAGATATCACTATTCCAGGCTGGCATCACGTCTTTCAAATGGCTTCTCTTACAATGGAGCATCGCTGCGTTCTCACTTGCGACGTAGATAATCCGCCTGCGGATGCTTTGCCATTCGATATTGTCGGTATTGGACCTGACCACCTCGAGCTTGGCGACCGAGTCTTTTCCCTTCCTCTCAGAAGAAAGCACTTCCGTGATGGAGAACAATTTGAGCACCCCATTACGAAAGAATTCTTTCAAGATGTAGCGTATGCGCCCTTGGCATTCCAAAACGTCTGGGCAGCGACATACCTCGCGCGCCCTATGGGTGGAGTCCATGTAGTCCACTCCCAACCTGTCGAAGACGGGGCTGAGGCGGAGCATCCCAAGATTTTCCAATTTGTCGGAGATTGCTTTCTTTCAACAGTGAGATGGCTTTCGCCAAGTCGTGGACTTATGCCTAAGGCCTGGCTGTCTTACGAGACGGAGGACAGCGACGAAGCTGCATGTCAAAAGGAGTTCGGTGACCGATATTCAGATTTTGATGAGGATGGTGAGATATATCTTTGCTAAAGACAAGAGCGATGACTGCTGGTATGTACATATAGGGGCTAGGAAAACCATCAACATTTGATCGTTCAAGGACTTGAACATACGCTCTTCCTAACTCCGGTGCCGCCTTGAAACCCACTCCAAACGCCGGTAACCAAAAACCAATTCCGATATCATTACTTGTGCCCAAGATGTTAGCACATCTTGCGTCTCCACCCACAGAAGGGCTATCAGCAACCCATCATGGTCTCCATACTGGCAACTCCGCATCTTGCAGCCTCGCTGTCGTCTGCTCGTCCGCTTCCATGGCAATTTGAATGGGCAGTACCAGACTAATGTCAGTACCGCCAGCGCTCATGCTAATTTGTAAGGCGTATGTTCTTGATATCAGGCATGAGTGAAAGGTCGGCGGGAAAACGTATTTCTCAGTGGGCAGGCGAAACTCAGCTCGCAAAGTCGTTGAATAAGGCGTCGGCGGTGCCGAATCCCAGCTTTCTTCCTTCGCCTCCGCAGAATCTTGACTATCGGGAAGCGTCTTGGGTTTCCAAGAGTCGTATTCCAGAGTCTCCCACAATACTCGCGCCGAAATATTGAAAGGCTCTCGAAGGGAGCCCATGTTGGGCAAGCCGTTCATGACCTTTGTTGAATACCAGGTTTGCGCAACAATTTTGACCGACTGCAAAACCACCTCTGGTGGAGTAGCATTTACAAGAGAAGGTTCAAAGATGAAGTTCGCTTGGAAAGAGGAGCTGCAAGCACTTCGTCCGTCCCGGCTCAAGTGAACTGTAGGCGGCTGTGCCGCTGCTGCAGTGACACGTCCCAACGACCCTGAAAACAAGGCCTTTGGAACATTCTTTGATTCGATGAGGCGATATTGCGAGTCCCATGCATCGACACTCAGTGGCGGCTCCTCGGGCGACGCCGCGAGTAGGTTGATCTCGTATTGAGCCTCTGAGAGAACTTCAGACGGCTTGGCGCATTGCGGACCAGGCTCGCGTACGAGTTTTGCTTTGATATGATACCGAATACCGAGAAGCTTGGGAGCCATGTCGTACTTGTCCCAACTCGTCAGAGTGGAAGGGAGTCGCAAGTGATAATCGCGTATCGACGTTGACTCGACGTCGTGTTGACAAGCAGCCTCTGTCAATTGGTTGGGAATGATGAATCGAAACGGTATCTTGTACGTTTCCCCGGCTTTAAGTATTCTTGATTCGGGATATGCTGATTCCGCCACCGGCATATCGACTTTCAACAGAATCTGTGATGTCTGCCTGGAAGAGTATGTGTCATCGATGCGAACACTTGCCTTCCCCTGGAGGCTGATCTGAACTGAGCTGAAAGCTGTGTCGTGGCGGGGATTGATCGAGACATAGCCTGATACCGTGGTACCGCAAGTGTAGACCTTCGATGTGTAGTGGTTGTCGATATTAATGTCCATAATTGTCGCTTTTGAACTTGTTGCAGCCAAAGTTGATATGCGTTTCGTAAGATTCTTCATTGTGTGACCAGCACATAGACCGCACGTCAGGTTGGGAATCGATGAGCCCAATCTTTGGCCATACCGGCGATCCGGTCGGCAGCTTAGGTGTGAGACGGCCATGCCAAGCCTGCTTCTTAAAGCAAGATGTTCGCCGGGTCGTGAGTATGGGAAATGAATCCCGATGTATTAACAATCAAGACGATTTGTCTTGAAACTAAGTCCAACGTTTGAAAGCATTTGAGTCCTGGAGCAATCCGTCGTAGTCTGAGTATTAAAACTTCCGCGCAGACATCAACTCCCGAAAGGCCAAAACCGAAGACGATGCCGCTTGCAGGGGTCGGAGTGTTACCGACTGGTGGACTTCCTGTGCGAACAACTTACTCACACTCACACCATCGGAAACCAGCATTCTCAGTGGACCGGCCTCATGTTCGACAATCCGGTATGAGTCAAAGTTAAGTTAATCCCGTTGGCATTGGACGCCCTTGCCGACCGGCATGTCATCTTCGCCCTACACTAGCCGAGACATGATTTGTCGAACCCACCGAGCTCCGTAACAGCCATTGCGACATCGGTTTTGCAAGGTATCTTTGCCTGCAATGTGGTCGGTGTGCTGCTGAACCCGCCGTGCGAACATGGGGCTCCGAGCCGAAGCAAACCGCATCGTGGGCCCGTTGCCATAGAAGCTTCAAAGTTTTGACTCCTCAAAACTTCCATGTCGACCAGCTCCCTTGCTAAATCGTGCCGCGCCTTTCACGCTCTCCGAGCTAATGACCTTGATCCCCGCATCAAATTCCCTGCTCAGGGCATCTTCAAACGACGAGGCATTGTACGCTGCGTAATAGCAACTCGCCCGGTCTGTGTTCATGCAGGCCTGCGGGATCGCCAAGAGCTGCCTTGCAATCTTCGTAGCCTCTTCCAAGGCCTTGCCCTTGGGCACAACTCGGTTCGCCAGACCCATCTGCAGTGCTTCCTGCGCACCCACAGCTCGGCCGGTGAGGATCATGTCCAGAGCCCGGCCCAGCCCCACGATAGCCTGCAACCGGACCGTGCCGCCGTCAATAAGCGGCACGCCGAACCGGCGGCAAAACACGCCGAACACGGCGTCCTCTTCGGCAACCCGCATGTCGCCGAGAAGGGAGAGTTCCAGCCCACCCGCCACCGCATGACCTGACACGGCGCTGATGACGGGCTTCTTGATTTGCATACGCGACGGACCGATGGGGCCGATATTTCGCCCATCTACGCGATGGGATTCGTCGATGATGGGACCCTTGTACTCTTTTCCATCGGGGTTGTGGTAAGTTGCGACTTCGTGAAGGTCAAAGCCCGCGCAGAATGAGCCGTTTGAGCCATTGAAGACGCACACTTTCTGCGTGTCGTCTGTCTCGAAAGCAAGGAAGGCATCGGTGAGCTTGCGACCGGTCGCACCGTCGATCGCGTTGCGCCGGTGAGGGCGATTGATCGTAATTGTTGTAATGCCCTCCGACGTCTTGGAGACGAGCACTGAGTTAGGTTCGGTATCTGCCATACTGAACTGCTGAACTTCGAATCAGTTGTATCGACGACGACTATCGATGGTGTAGAGGATGGATCTAGAAGGTCGTGATTAGATATAATAAACTTTCAACCGAGGCACCGTCATTCAACCGACTTCCCCGCGTTTTGAACCCCTCAGTCAATTTTGCGCCCGAGATATTAGGTACTTCAACACCTGTCTGACCGATCCCAGGATGATTGGCAGCCTGATATCCTCATGTCTTACATCGGTGTGAACACGAGTTGACTGTATCGGTGAACGGTGAACAGTGAACGGTGAAAGCACGCCTTCTCCAGTCAAGCAACCCGGTAGCCACAGAGTGCACCACACTCCGTGCATCAGAGAGTTTACGTAAGTTAGGACCGATTCGACATAAAACTTCTGATGGGCGGAGAATTTGATCCAATTTTCGTGATAATTGCAGGCTCGGAAGTTCGTCGTCTCGGTTGTTACGAGCATCGGGAGTGAGTGGGTCTTGGTGTGAGACCTCGGGAATTGTGCTGGGAAGTCACTTGGCACAGCCGGGCTACTCCTTCACCTTTACAGTTAACCTATGATACTCATAGGACTTCTCCTGAATTCATGAGTTGTAAGCCAGTTTTACGATGTGATCGTAGTTCAAAACCATCACTGGTATGGCCAAGAGGACGTCGCGTTTGTAATCATCGGTCAAGGGACCATTTCGCACCCGCCCCGCCCGAACTTACGCCCGGATTTCAAGTTCCGAACTCAGTTTAACTGAAGTTGCTGGTTTGGGCTAGTATCTAACTTACTCAGAAGACAGGACCGACTAATTGGCTGATAATATTCACATAAATCGAGGCATTCGGGCATTAGTGGTCTACTCTTTAGACAGCGTGAGCCTCGAGGACTTGTCATTCGTCATCGTCATCATCGAAAACATTGAGCCGCTACTAAGCTCATCGATGACTTGATGCACTGTGTCACTTTACAACAGCTGCACCAATCTGATTCACAGTCAACACCCTGGATGGTTTGGTAATTGTTCAGTATTTAGTTCAAGAATCAAATATTTTTGGACAACACTAGTGTTGTTGCTACAGTATTACAAGTGGTAAAGTAACAATAATGCCGTGCCAGACTCAGGAGGGGCCATCGCCTGAACATGTCGCGGAGCTTAAGCTATGCCAAACCCCAGAATATTCTCCGATCGAGAGGGAGTAACTAGCCTCAGTCTTGAACACGGACTGCTCTGGGTCGCTCTGGGACAACTACGATACAACATGGTTCCAGATTCGCATCTCAGCCCTTCAGGCTGGCCAAGATCTCCTTGCTCTTCGCATAGTCAGAGGTGCCATGCTCAGGGTCCGCATCGACAGCGGTTGTCTTGCAAAGAGTGCCGGCGTTGTACTTTCCATTGGGCCCATCGACACCGGCAAAGTCTCTCTTGTCATTCGCCTTCAGCATATTCTCGGCGGCCTCGGGGAGCCATCCGTTGATGAAGTCGCCGTGGGTGCAGTACGAAGATCCGCAAGCCAGCTCCAGCGGCGCAGGACCGTCCCAGCCATCAGGCAGGGCGGTGCGCAGGTCATACCGGATGCTGAATCTGAGCTGCGGCATTCTCTTCATGCCGAGCGGGCAGCGGTTCTCGGGACGGAAGGTCTTCGTCCAGTGCTGGACGCCAGAGTAGGTCGACTCGAGGGTGGTCTCGTTGACGCAGTCGTGGAAGAGGAGAATCGTCTGGAGATGGGCGGGACAGGTTTTGGAAGGAAATTCGGCGGCATCCTTGCCGTCGGTCGTGCCCTGGCCGCCGTGGTCGCAGAACCACTGGATACCTGCGAGGTTCTCTACGCCGTCCTGGGAGGTGGCGGAGGAGTTGCCAACGACGGCTTTGTAGTTCTGGGGAATGGCGACTTCGGCCTTGTCGATACTGACGTAGTAGGCACTGAAGCGGAAGATGGGAGCCGGAAAGGTACCGGTGGAGTTCTTGTAGAAAAGAGTTGGAACCCCTTTCTAAGTTAGCGATTTAAGAACAGCATG